ACCCACTGTGCTATCACTCTAGCCCCAGAACATGTGTTTTTGAGTGCGAGTATATGTGCATGTGTATGTGTGTGCATGAGAACATGTATGAGCATATATGTGCACATGGAGCATATGTGCATACACACAGGGTGTGTATGTGTGTGCAGGTGGGGTGTATGTGTATGTGCAATGGGGTCTATGTGTGTATGTGGGTGTATGTGTGTGTGCGTGCACGTGGGATGCACATGTGTAGCCAGGTCACGCTGTGTCCGGTATTGGAGTTGCTAACTGGGTACCTGACCCAGATTCCCAGAAGCACTTTGGTTCCTTCCTTCCGGTCTCCAGATGCCGCCCTGAAGGAAGTGGCGGCTGGCAGAGCCAAGGCCAGGGCCAGATGGGTCTTTCTTGCCTCAGAGCAAAAGCCAGCTTCATGGCTTCCACAGAAGGCCGTGTTCACTGCAGTGCTCTGGGCCAGAAGTCCAGAGTCCGGATGTTGAAATCAGGGCCATGGGGCCAGCGCTTACTCTGGGGGCTCAGGGGAGTGCTTGGCCAGGAGGCAGAATTCAGGGCTGGGGGCTGCAGAGATGGGACAGCGGGGAGGGCACTTGCCTGGAACGTGGCCCACCAGGGCATTGATCTTCGACATCCCATACAGTCCTCCAAGCACTGCCAGGCTTGATCCCAGGCTTGAGCACAGGGCAAGGAGTAAGCCCTGAGCATCGCCAGGAGTGACCCCAAAACCATGGGCTGGAGCAATAGCACAGCGGGTAGGGCGTTTGCCTTGCATGCGGCCGACCCGGGTTCGATTCCCAGCATCCCTTTTGGTCCCCTGAGCAATGCCGGGGTAATTCCTGAGTGCAGAGCCAAGAGTAACCCCTGTGCATTGCCGGGTGTGACCCAAAAAGCAAAAACAAACAAAAAAAACCCTTGGGGGAAAGAAGAGCCCAGGTGTGAGGACCCGGCACCAGGGTGCCCTCTACTGCTGAGGTGTCAACTGGGGGCGCCTCGCGCCAGCCACGCTGGCTTTATCACTCCCCACTCCCTTCCCTGGACTCTGCAGAGCTCACAAAACGGGTCAGACCCTGGGGATAAGCCCCACAGCCTGAACGTGACGCGTGATGGTACAGAGGCCCCAGGCCCGCTGAATACCCTCATGGGGTCAGGGGGCATCTCGGAGCTCTCCCTGCCACAGTGACCCCGGAGCTCTCAGGGGGAGCCAGGGATGGTCAGGAAAGCAAGGGTCAGGCGCCCAGCTGACCACAGAGGGTGGCTGCCAGCCGGAGCCCACCGCATTCCTGGGGGCGAGCCCCAGCATGTCCTCCACGCGGGGCCAGGTTTGGCAGGATGGACCTGCTGGCCTTTTGGCTGGCCTGGCGCCCTCGCCCCTACCCAGGGCAGGGCAGAAAGTTCCAGCACGCGGTCCAAAGGGAGGTGAGGGCTGGAGGTGCAGCTCCATGGAAGGGCACTTGACTCACGTGCGTGAGTCTGGGGTTTGTGTCCCGAGCACCCAGCCAGCCGTGGCTCCCAACCACAGTCAGAATGACTGAGAAAAACAGGGAAGTGAGAGGCCACTGGGCCCCGGTGCCTGCCCCGCTCTGGGCCCGCTGCCCTGCAGACGGCGAGGGGGTGTCAGGTCAGCGCGGGGCCAGGTCTGAGGGTCCCACCGCAGAGTCTGTGCCCTGGGTCCTGGTGGGAAGTACAGCAGCACGCGGGGGCGGGGGAGTCCCAGACCCGCCGCTGAGGGACCCCTGATGGGAACAGGGGAGAAGGCAGCTGTCTCCTGCACAGATGAGAACCGCCTCCATGCAGGGGCCCAGCCCCCTGCCCGCAGGCCAAGGTGTTGTGGGCTCACCTGGGACTCCGGGCACATCCGGCTCCTCCCCCCAGCTGAAGCTCTCCTCTCAGCAGCCCCTGCAAGACTGGCCTGATGGCTGCGGGGACCAGGATGCTGGGACAGCTGTAGAGGCCTCTGGAGTGCCACGGCCTGGCCCTTGGGCTGTACCCCCTGTGAGAGGGCAGTGGGAGCCCCATGGCACGGCTGCAAATCCCCTCACCCCCGCCTGCGGGAACCACATCCCAGTTTTGTTTTGTTTCTTTGGTGTGGGCTTTTGGATACACCCAGCACTGCTCAGGGCTTACTCTTCTGTGCTCAGGGATGACTCCTGGCGGGGCTCAGGGGCCACACGGGGGCCAGAGGCGGAAGCTGGGTAGGCTGGAGGCAAGGCAAGTATCTTCCCTGCTGTACTATCGCCCCGATCCCTGGTTTGTGTTTTGGCTTGGGGGACTCACCCAGCAGTGCTCAGGGGACTATGTGGTCAGTGCTGGGGCTAGAACCTGGGCCTCCAGCATGCAGAGCCTCTGTTCAACCCTCCAAGTTATCACTCTGTCTCACCTTCTCAGCCCTTCGCGTCATTCTGGCAAAACTGAGCCTGGCGCCGCCGAAAGCAAGAAGCCGCACCAAGTCGCCGAATCTATGGGCTTGGGGGTTTCCCCGGTCTGATTACCATATTTGGAGAAAATTTCTGTTTTTCTTTTTTGTCTTGAGGGGCCCGTGGAAACTTCTCTAGACCAGGCATCAGGGGACCAAGCTTTATGAGACAGCAGTGACCCCTTTCTGTGCGCTGACAGCTGACTCTAGGGACACCCAGAGGCGAACATGCCCCACCCCTCCCCCCGGCCCCCCCTTCGAAAGCCCTGGCTTACACAAGTGCTCGTCTGCAAATTCGAAAAATGGATGGTGGAGTGAAGCCTGGGTCTCGTTTCCGAGATAAACGGAAATATTTGAACCCTTCCTCAATCTCTTGCTAGGAGGACCCAGGCCAAGACAGAGCGAGGCAGGGGAGGGGTGGGGGTGTCTGGGCGCAGCGCCCACAGGCAGGAGGCCCTGTGGGTCCCCTGAGCATCACTGGGTGTGGCCCAATAAAAGAAAAAAAAGTGAAACAGGAGGAGCCTAAAGTGCCTTATTCATTGTCTGATTTCCCCCAAGGAAAATGCAGGTATTTTCCCACTGGACAAAAGGAACTGAGTGCCAGTCTGAAGTCGGGATGATGAATTTCCGTTCCTGGGGCCCCGAATGAGCGCATCCTCCTTCCAGCAGCCCAGGCCCCGCATCTCCAGCTGGGCCGGCTCCGCTTATAAATAACCCGGGAACACTGTGTCTGCCGTTTCCAGGCCCGCTTTCCCAGCACATAGGGCTCTGGGGAGACCGCGGCGGGACAGAGGGACAGCTGCGGGCCGGGGCTCATTCAGGCCCGGAACAACTGCCTCTTTCAGCATCCCCAGGCCCCCTGCCCTGCCCTGGAACAGCCCCGAAACTGCATCTCCGGGGTGGATCCCTCCAAGCTGGGGAAGAAGGCTTTGAGGGTTCCTTAGGCGGGCCCAGGAAGTCTGGACTGCACCCGCCGGAGGCACCCACTGCACCCGCTGGCATCCAGCCCCCGTGCCAGCCCTGCCCCGGGTCTCAATATCCTCTTTTGAGGAGTCAACAAAGTCTCATGGCTTGTGTGTCCCCGTGATGGGTGGAAAGAATGTTAATGAAATGCAAGGCCAAGTGGCCAGCCAGGGGCCCAGGGCTACAGGGGAGCCAGTGGGGGGCAGGCAAGATGCCCCTAGAGTCTATACCTTTGACCCGGGGAACCTCCCAATCTTGCCCCCTGGGCTCCCATGCCACTCAGCTCCCTAAAAATTCTCCCGAGTCTCGTATGGATTTCTTTCTCTGTCCCCTTAGATCTGCCCACTGGACCCGGGCGGGATGGGATGGGGTGGGGTGAGGGGGATGCGAGTTCCCTGAAAGTTGGACCTGAGGCCTCCAGCATCTCCAGTTCCCAGAACACTAACTTTTTTGGTTTTGTGGAGGTTTGGGGGGCCGCCACACCCGACGGTGCTCCAGGGACCACTTCTGGTAGGGCTCTGGGGAACATCCGTGGTGCCTAGGATGGAATGGGCTGGCTGTGTGCAGGGAGAGCGCTCTGCCCCGGTAGAGCTCCCTAACCCCGCCAGGAGCACTGCACATCCGTCTAGGGGCCCTGGGAACCCCCTTCGGCACTTTGGAGTGGGACACTGGTTACATAACAATCACAGCCCCCAGAGCTCTGACATCACCCCCTGCGGGTTCCACGGGGCAGGGCGGGCTAGTGGATCTGCGTGAGGGCCCGGGATGAGGGTGATGGCGGGGGAGTGAGCCCCATGGAACTGCCGGGAACCGGTAAGGAGACCCCAGGGCCCGGGAAGCCGACAGCGGCGGTGACCCTGCGGGGAAAGCGGAAGTCCTTGGACTCTTTGATTCCCCCTAAGTTCCCACAAGATTTCACTGTTGCCCCACAGCTCCCCCCCACCCCACACCCGGCACAAGGGGTTTCCGAATTTACTTCTTCAAATTCCTCAACTTCCTCTTCTCTCCTCCCGCTCGCCTCTCTTTTAGGGTGACCCCTCCTTTCCGCCAGCGGTGTGCCCAGCTGCGGCCAGGGACCCCTCCCAGGCCCGAGGGTCTCCTCCCCCAGTCCGCCCCGCCTAGGATGTCAGCTCCCTCCGTTTCTTCTCCTGCCTCTTTCCTGTCACTCCTTCTCCCCAAGAAACCAAAGGCGATCGAAGGTGAGGGGACGAGCGGGAGCGTCAGGGGAGCAGGGGCGAGAGGAGGCGCCCGACCCCGGGGCCCCCGACGCTCCCGACGCCCCTGCAGCCGGGGTCCCCCCCCGGGGTGGTTAGCGGGGCGCGATCTCCCCCCAGCCCCACGCGCCCCCCACTTCCCGCCGGCTCAACCGCAGCACTTCCGCGAGCCACCCTCCCGCGGGGGCGGGGCGCCGTCGGCGCGGTTGCCGTGGCAGCTGGGCGGGAGGGGGCGGGGCGCGGGGCGGGGCGGCCAGCCGGGGCTCGCGAGATTTCGAGCCGGCCAATGGGAGGCGGGGGAGGGGGGAGGACGTGGCGCGGAGCTCGCGCGGGCCCCGCCCCGCCCCGCCCCCGCCCCGCCCCCGCCCCGCCCACCTCGCTGAGTCCCGGCGCTGCTGCGGCGGCGGCGGCGGCGCGCCCGCGCCCGGCCACTCGCCGAGCCCCGCGCTATAAAGCGCGCCCCGCGTGCCCGGCGCGGCACTCCGCAGAGGGCGTTCCGCGGGCCGAGCCGTGCGCCTGCGCAGTGCGGGCCGTCCCCCGCCCCCGGCCCCCGAGCCTCGTCGCCCCTCCGCCCCTCCGCCCCTCCGCCGGCCGGCCGGGCCCCGCCTCGGCTCCGCAGCTCGTCCCGCGCTCAGCCGCCCGTCTCCCCGGCAGCCACCAGCTCGGCCAGCTCCGCGTCCGGCAGCATGTTCAGCTGGGTCAGCAAGGATGCCCGCCGCAAGAAGGAGCCGGAGCTCTTCCAGACCGTGGCCGAGGGGCTGCGGCAGCTGTACGCGCAGAAGCTGCTGCCGCTGGAGGAGCATTACCGCTTCCACGAGTTCCACTCGCCCGCGCTCGAGGACGCCGACTTCGACAACAAGCCCATGGTGCTGCTCGTGGGCCAGTACAGCACGGGCAAGACCACCTTCATCCGGCACCTGATCGAGCAGGACTTCCCGGGGATGCGCATCGGGCCCGAGCCCACCACCGACTCCTTCATCGCCGTCATGCACGGCCCCACCGAGGGCGTGGTGCCGGGCAACGCGCTCGTCGTCGACCCGCGGCGCCCCTTCCGCAAGCTCAACGCCTTCGGCAACGCCTTCCTCAACAGGTACCCGCCGCCCGCGCCCCCCGCTCCGGGCGCCGGGGTCGGGGGTGGGTGGGGGGGGTGGGCGGGCTGCCCGGGGCCGCGGCCCGGCCGCCGCCGCCCCCACCGTCCTTTGTCTCCGAGCTCCTTGCCGGACCCTCTGCGCGCCCTGCTTGGAGCCGGGTCCCCCGCCGCCTCCCGCTGCAGCCCCCGACGCCCCCCGACTCTCCCTGGGGCCGGCCTAACGGACCCCCGGCTCCTTCCCCGGGGGGGCCCTCATTCATTCGGATCGGACCTGCCCCCTCGCCCGTCCCGCCCGTCCCGGACCTAGTTAGTTCTTCAGGGTCATGGAAAAATCCGCTGAAACTCTGAGCCGGTCCCGTGCGGCGCCCGCGGGGCCCGCTGGACTTTCCCGGGGCGGGGGCTGGCGTGTGTAGGAGGGACGGGAGGACCCGCCGAGTTCGGGGCAGCCGGGGAGGCCGTGGCCAGGAGGGGGGTGGGGGGAAGCAGCCCCAGGCAGCGGCGCCCGGCCAGGACTCGCCGCTCCCGAGCCGCTGGGACCTGTTCCCGCAGTCGGGAGGGTGGTCGGGGCCTCCCCCCACACCCCCAGATGCCGGGATGGGCCAAAGCCCAGGGCGCTGTTTCCGTAGCAACCCCAAAGCGCTTTTGTCGCAGTCTGCCCCAAATCCGCACCATTCGGAGTGACCCCCCCCCAACTCCCCTTCACTGAAGTCTGGGTCCCAGGGCGGGCAGGGAGGACGTCCTTGGCCTCTCTCCCTGCCTGGGGCTCCACCTGTGAGCTGGTGCATTCCTCCATAGGGCCTGTCCAGCTCAGAGGGTGGACCAGCTCCCTGGGGGCCCCCGCCCACCGCTGACCTTAGCTGCTGGCTCTGCGGTGACTTTCTCCCCCTTTCACACTGAGCTCTGTGTGTGTGCGTGTGCGTGTGTGTGCATGTGTGTGCTTGCACGCCTGTGAAGAGGCGTGGCCCTCTCTGGAGCTTGCTCTAAGGTTATCAAGGCGCTGGGGCCTGAGGGAGGCCTTCTTGGCTCGGCCGAGAGCCTGGGAAAGTTAGGCCCAGTCAGGGAATTCCTAGCATTGCCAGCCGCCCGCTTTCCCACAGCCTGCCCGAGGCCCGAGGCGAGAGGGCTGAACTTACTCAGTTGTCCTTTGGGGGCCCCACCCAGAGGTGCCCGGGGGCTACTCCCAGAGGGCGCTTCCGATCCTTCTGGTGAGCTGGCCGATCCTGCCCTGCCACCAGCGCTCACCCCAGCCTGGGCCCTGATTCTTCCTCCCTCCCGGCGGGGGTCACACCTGGGGTGGGGGGTAGCCTTGGGGTGAAGCTCAGGGCCGGCTCGCTCGCTGGCTCTGTACCCCTTGAGCGCCTGCTCCAGCCCGTCTCCATTTTTGAGTTCTGAGAACAGAACTTTCTGGAAGCCACAGGACTTGCTTTTCCTGAACTACAGGAGGACTCGGATACCATTGAGTCTGGGGGTGATTCCCCCACAATCCTGCTTGCATGCGGCCGAGTGACCCAAGCGCAGCCAAGAATACCTGTTGCTGTCCCCCCTGCCCCCTTCCCCAGTAGCCCTTTGGGGTCCAAGACAGGCGCAGGGAGGGGGTGGGTGTCCTCTCTTGAAGGCCCTGGGGAAAGGCTTCTTCTGGCTCAGCTGCCAGCCTGGGGCGTCCCGGCCGCTCACTGGGGCACCTGGACGGGCCCCGCTCCAGACCCACTGACTCATAAGCCTGACTCGGCCCTTCGCCCCAAGTGGCTGCTGGAAGATGAAAATCAGATGGCGCCGGGCGGGCAGGGTGTCCGGGTCGTCCCTAGAGACCTTGTTGCGAAACGGCCCCCCCACTCCTGCCCAAACAACGCCAAGCACAGCCCGGGCGGGAAGGGGCCTGGGTGGCCCGAGCTGTCCCCCCACCCCGACCCCGTCTCATCCACGCATCACCAAGGCACTCTGGGGGGCTCCTTCTCCACCTCTGCACTGTGCCCCAGGGCCGGTGCACTCTCTAGCATCCAGGGTGAGGCCTGCAGGTCAGCTGGCCTGGCTCAGTGGCACTGTGGGCCGCGCCTCTGCCCCTGGCCCGCTGCCCCCAGCCTCTGGGCCACGGGTCAGAGAAGCTGCGCCCTGTTTGGTGCTCCCATTTGGTGCTCCGGTGCAGGAAGGCGGCTTGAGGCTTGTGTCCTGCAGACAATGCCTCAGTATTTTCTCTTCTCACAAGACCTTTTTCAGAGGCTTTAAAGGCTCCTTTTTTCCTGGCCCACTGCAGGGCGCTGCTCTCGGTCAGGAGCGCCCCTGGTGGTTCTGGGCTGGTCTGAGCTCAGAGGACTCAGCCCAGGAGGGCCCCCCACAGAGCTGTCAGTTCCTCTGTGGCTTCCTGCCTTGACTCTCAGAAAGGGGGTCTGCCGCTCCCACCCCTGCCCGCTGCAGAACCCCGGGACTGTCTTGTACCCAGGACAGTGAGTCCACCTGGGGGCCAGCTGGGGAGGGCTTCACCCAACAGCTTGACATCTCAGCATGGGATTCTGGGGGTCTGGGGGGCCGCCCCCTCTTTCCCTCCTGGAGCTGGTGGTGCCTGAAGCAGCTGCACTTTCCTCTGCCCTGAGCCGGGCCTGAACTCTTGACCCAGTGGCCAGGAAGGAACACTGTGGAGAAGTGCTGATGCGGGTCCCTGCTTTGAGCCTGCTGGGTGTGGAGGGGGTTTCCGGTGAAGTTTGTGGGTGCAGCCTGCTGGCCTCCCTGCAAATGGCCACCCAGGACCGTCTCTTCCTTGCTCCTGGAAAGGAAGCAGGCGGGGGAGTTGGGGGGTGGGGGGGAACGTTGCTAGGGTTCCCGGGAGCGCGTGCTCACCGCTGGACGCTGCGTCCCTGACACCCTCTTCCGGCCACTCGTGTCCTGCAGGTTCATGTGCGCGCAGCTGCCCAACCCTGTCCTGGACAGTATCAGCATCATCGATACCCCGGGGATCCTGTCGGGGGAGAAGCAGCGGATCAGCAGAGGTGAGTGGTCGGGCCCAATGTCCTGTGTCACTCTCCCGGCTCATGGGAGGACATTGGCATCCGCCTGGGCGGGGGCAGGCTCACAGTCCTCTGTGGCCTCCTTGGCTCAGGTGACCAGCATGGGGCGGACCTCGGCCAGTCTGGGGTGGTTGTCATGCATCAGGCCGTCCAGATCCCTCGATCTGCCGGGAAGGAGGACAGGAAGGGGGGGATGGGGCCTGGGCGACCTGCGAGGTCACCAAAACTCAGTTGGGGGGTCTGGGCTTTGGGCTCCCGGGCCTGGCCAGCCGCCCGCAAGGCTCGCCCGGGCTCCCCTGGGGCAGGCTCACCTTTGTCAGTGCTTAAGTGCTTGGCCTCCCGGAGCCGGGGCATTCCTTAGTAAATCCCCGCAGCGGATGCGGGAGCGGGAGTGTCCAGCCAGAAAGGAGAAGCAGGCGGGTGCCTGCGAGCCCTGGGGGGCCGTGGGAAGGCTTTGCATCTGCTCAGATGTCGGTCAGTAGTCTAGGCCAGGCGTGGGGAAGCGGGAGTGGCGCTGGTCAGCGCCCTGACCCCACAGATGGGCCCGAGCCTGCAGGGGGCGGGGAACAGGGCCCTTTGCGGCTGCTGAGACTGGGAAACTGTTTTTGGCCGGGGGGGGGGGGGGGGGGGGGGGCATGTATTCGCCAGTGGGCCAAGAGCAAAAGCCGCGGCTTCGGTTTTCATGAGACTATGGAATAGGATCCAACTCGGGGAATCCTGCTGGTTTCCTCCAAGCAGAGGGGCCTGGTCTGTTTGTCACTAACTCACAAGTCTTGAGTTCCGGAAGCCAGGACCCTCGGGACTGGAGTGTGTTTGGCATGAGGGAGGCCCAGGCTCGATCCCCAGGCACCAACGGGCGCCCCTCCGCCTCACTGGGGGTGGCCTCCAAACCAAAAAGACCCCTTGCCGATCTTTTCCGTGGCCCATTGTCTCAGGGCTGGGCTGCCCAGCCTTGCCGAGCTTGGCCCAGTGAAGCCAGCAACGAGGAGTGTGGACGGCGGGCAGGAGAGATGGGACAGTGGGGAGGGCGCATGCCTTGTGCGCAGCCGACCTGTTTACGATTCCCAGCATCCCACATAGTTCCCTGAGTCCCACCAGCCGTGATCCCTGAGTGCAGAGCCAGGTGTGAGCCCTGAGTATCACTCGATGTGACCCACAAACAAGCAGAAAAAGGGAAGTGTGGACGGGCTTAGTTCTGGGGCTAATTGAAGGCTTGGGAGTCCTTGCTGATAGCTGGTGTGTCAGAGCAGTCGAACTACCCCTTCCCCCAAGGGATCAGCGCTCCTTGAGGTCAGGTAAGCGGAGGAGGGGTGGGGGCGGGGCACCTGATAGGCAGGGGCTGAGTTCTTGGGCAGATCCGTACCTTGCCTGTGTGAGATCCTAATTCAGTCCCGGCCATAACAGGTAAGGGTTGGACCAGAGATGCAGTGTGCAGGGGTTAATGGGTTAATTTCCCCCCCCCTCCCCCCCGCCATCAATAGTACAGCAGGGTAGGGCATTTGCCTTGCATGTGGATGACTTGGTTCAATCCCCACCATCCCATATGGTCCCCCGCCAGGAGTAACCCGTGAGAATTGCCAGATATGACCCAAAAGCCAAAAAAAGAGGGTTAATGCCCCTGACTTGCAGCCTGCTGACCCCAGGTCAAATCACCGCATACAGTGGCCTGAGAGGTAGGACTTGGGTGGGGCACGCCGCGGACCCCGATTCGATCTCCAGCATCTCATATGGTCCCTGGAGCACCACCGAGAGTAATTCCTGAGTACAGAAGCAGGAGTAACCTTCAGTACTGCCAGGCGTGTGTCCAAAACAAAACAAAAGAGAAATCGCCACATATAGGCCAGGGAGCAATAGCCCCGTAGCACCGCCAGGGGTGGCCCAAAACCAGGGGGGAAAAAAAAAGCAACAAAAACCATTCAGGGCGACTAGGTCTTTCTCCATTAGCTGCTGTTCCCGTTCCAAGCTGGTTTCCAGGAAATGCCTGAGAAGCCAAGGCCTCACCATTGGCCGTTGCCCGGCACGAAGCCGGAAGGATTCCCCCATCCTCCCACAGCCAGTGCCAAGAGGGCTCTGCCCCGCCTCCCGCCCGTGTCCTGGCCCAGCTGTTTATCTCTCCATTCCAGGCCCGGCAGGGCCCAGAGGCCCGTAGGTGGGGGTGGGAGGGCTGTCAGAACCCCTGGGTGCTCCCTGCCCAGATCACCTGCCCACATGTCCCTCGCGGAAGTAGCGCCCTCAAGTCTGGTCCTCGGGGATGGCCAGTGGGACAGTGTGTGTGTGTGCTGGGGAGTCAGGCAGGCGGCCCCTCAGGCCCCCAGGGGCTGGGGTGAGCTGCAGGGCCAGGACTGGGAGGAGGCGGAGAGCAGGTGCGTGTCACCTGGGTGACGCCCACTCCCAGCCCTGGCCCGGCCTACCTCAGCGGTGGGGGGAGGTGAGCACGTTTTTCCCACAGAAAGAGGGGGGTGAGCCGGGAGCAGGGGGGTCCTGGCCGGGGACTGCGACCTCGCCCCTGGAGCAGCCTTCGGGGGTGACTCAGGCGTGTTTCCGACCCCACCCACTTGGCCTGACCCCCCTGATCTTTCCTCTGCCTGTGTCCGCCCAGCGCGTTTCAGGATGGAGTTGGAACGCTGGGAACGGTGGTGGGCAGCCCACCCCGGGGCTCTCCCTGTGTCACAGTGCTCTCCTCAGCCCGGGTGGCTGATAAGGAGCGTTCCAAAGGGCACCCGGGGCTTGTGCCCTTGGCTCGGCGTGGTGGATCGGCCCTGGGCAGCGCGAGAGGCGAGTGTCAGGGTTCCCCGCCCGCTTCTCATTAGGACCCTGCAGTCTGGACCTACGAAGACCTTTTCTTTCTTCCTTTTCTCCTTCCCTTTCTTTCTCTCTCTGTGTTCTTCTTCATTCATTGCTTCAGGGCTACACGCAGCTGTGCTGTGGACTCACTCCTGGTAGGACCCTAGTAGTGCTGGGAATCGAACCTGGGTGAGCTGTGGGCAAGGCAGGCGCCCCCTACCCACTATTGCTCTGGCCCCAAGGAAGACCTTTTTCTGCTTTTTTTTTTTTTTTTTTTTTTTTTTGCTTTTTGGTCACACCCGGCGATGCACAGGGATTACTCCTGGCCCATGCACTCAGGAATTACTCCTGGCGGTGCTCAGGGGACCATATGGGATGCTGGAAATCGAACCCAGGTTGGCCGCTTCAAGGCAAACGCCCTACAGCTGTGCTATTGCTCCAGCCCCAACCTTTTTCTGTTTGATTTATTAAATGTTTCATTACATTTAGGGGAGCTTCTGGGGGGTGGTTCTACCTGGCGGTCCCAAGGCTCCCTCCTGCAAACCCGGGCTTCCGCCTGGGAGTGTCTCCCTGGCTGGGCCATTGAGGGGGGCACAGCCTCGCCCCAGGTTTCCCTGCACGTTCCAGGGTCCCTCTGGCCAGCCCCCTGGCTGGTCTCCGGGAGGGGATGGCATTGGGCCCCCGACAGATGGACAGGGCAGGCCTGCTGGCGCCGCACCTGTCAGGCTGGGGGACAGCTGGCCGAGCCGCCTGCGAGCGTCTGCTCTATATTTGGGGCACGATTCCCACCCTGTCAGCCGTGGGCGCCACGGGTGTCCAAGACACAAGGCCCGGGAGTTGTCGGGGTCGAGCACCTCGGGGGCGCCTGTGCAGCTTGGCATGGAGGCCCAGAGGGCAGCTGCCCGGGCGGCAGAGGCTGGGGCCGGAGCACCACGTGACTCACCAAGTTTCTTCTTGGGTTTTTGGGGCCACACCCAGTGGTGCTCGGGGCTCAATCCAGACTGTGCTCGAGGGGCTCAGGGACCCTCTGTGATGCCGGGGAATTGGATCGTGCAAGGCCAGTGCCACCCCCCACCCGCCCCAGTACTGTCACCCCTGCACTCTCCTGGCAGCCCTCTGAGGTGGTCCTGCGTGCGCTGTGGGCTCAGTGCACCTTAGCTCTGGCATCTGCAGCTGGGAGCCTCAGTTCCAGCATCCGGAGACCGGAGGCCTTGTTAGGGGGTTGGGGGAAGCCCAAGTCGGGGGCTGCCCACGCGTGCGTGTGCGTGTGTGTGTGTGTGTGTGTGTGTGTGTGTGTGTGTACTTTCCTGTCATCCTTTACACCACCCGGGGCCATGGCGCGTGCCTCACATGCAGGAGCTCCCAGCATGCAGCAAACAACAATAAAACCGGCTTATTCTGGCGGGGCCGAGGACCAGCAGTCCAGCCCTGGCCCTGCGTGCGTGGGGCCCCGGGCCTGTCCCCCGCCGCAGCACACAGGGAGCTTGTTGTGCGGCCCCGGCGCAGCCCTCGGCGCCGTCTCTGTTCGCCTCGGACTCGGGGCCGTGTGTGGTGGCGAGCCGGGCGACACATACCGGGGCCCCCAGCCTGAATGGCAGGAAACAAACGTGGACGAGAGACAAGCCCTCCATTGTTCCATGTTCTAGAAACTTTGGGGCATGAACGAGCAGCTTGCCCCAGCCGCCGTGGAACAACCTGCCCGGGGCGCGGCGGGAAGGGGGCGCGCCAGCTGGGGTGGGGCCCCCCGCCGCTGCCCTCAGCCCAGGGCTTGCGGGTGTTGGGAGATTCTGTGCCCCCCCACTCTGTCTCTGCACACTGTGGACACCTTGCAGGAGCAAATCCTCAGGGTGACGCGGGGTGGCCGTGCGACCCCCTTCCTTGCTTCCTAGGGACCCAGGACCTTCCCTGGCTCTTCCAGCAGGGCCGGCCCCCCACTCGCTCTGGGGATCCCTCAGGCCTCCTGTGTCTCCCTGTCTCCATGGAGACGGGCCCCAGGACCCCTGTCCTTGTCTCCATTTTTTTTTCTTTTTTTTTTTTTTTTGCTTTTTGGTCACACCTGGCAGTGCACAGGGGTTACTCCTGGCTCATGCACTCAGGAATTACTCCTGGCGGTGCTCAGGGGACCATATGGGATGCTGGGAATCGAACCCGGGTTGGCCGCATGCAAGGCAAACGCCCTACCCGCTGTGCTATCACTCCAGCCCCAGTCCTCGTCTCCATTCGGATCTACTGTCACCTGGTACCACAGTCTCCTGGTGCCACAACTTGGCCAGTGGGGGCACTTTCCCTTAGGGGGCATCTGGTGCCCAGATCAGAGGCTGAGTGGACCGCGGTGCCAAGGCGGCCCCTGGTGCTCCCCGGGGCCAAGATGCTGGGGAGCTTGCCCAGGTCTGTCCCCGCCCCCGTCGCTCTCTCTCCGTCCGGCGGCAGGAGGGATGGTGGTGTGGCCGGGTCAGTGTCCGCAGGCCGTGGGGCTCTCCGGCAGACAGCATGGAGGTGGTGGCGGGCGCTGAGCAGCCCCCGGTGCTACCGTGACCCTTCCCGTGACCTCTGGGCGTGCCTGGCCAGCCATCGTGTCTCCCTCTCCGAAAGCGGGTGCACTTTCCCTGATAAACAGGAAATTTCATTCACCTGCAAAAACGGACTTAGCCCTGTTGGCTCTGGCCAGTAACTGGGTCTATGAGCAGCGGGGAGCGGGGCCGGGGGGGCGGCTCAGGCTGACCCCTGGGCAGGCATGATGGTGTCCCCCCGCAGAGCACACCCCCCCAGCCCCCCACCACACTGGGTGGAGCCGGGGTGACCTCAGCTCCCCGTGTGCTGTCCTGGCTCCGGCGCCAAAGCTAACATAGGCTGGGCCAGCCCGTTGGGGCGCCCCTTTCCCGGGACCTCAGTTCTGGCCTGGCCACCTCGCAGCTGCGGGGCTCTGTGGTCATCCCGATGGGGGGTGGTCTGAGGACAAATAGTTGGACAGGGGGAGACGTGGGGCCCCGTCGCTGCCGAGCGGCGCCGTCTGAGTCATCACTTCTGCAGCGGGAGCCATAAAAGGCCCGGGCTGACCCGAGCCCCCTCCCCGCCGGGCCCGGCCCCGGTCCGAGTCCACATTTCTGCTGACGGCTCCGCGCGGGGGCCCCCTGACCCCTGCCAGCTGCTCCCTGTCCACAAGGACCTCGGACTTTGGAATCGGCAGCCCGAGCTGGTGCCTGGAGGCGGGTGCAGGAGTGACCTGGATTCTGGCCCCCGCGCCGGGAGCAGGGGGGGCCCCGGCTCTCCCTTGCAAGAGGGCTGGTGGCTGAGCACAGCAACCCCGTTTCTCAGGGGTCCCGCGGCTGCCCTTGCCCGCTGCCGTGCTGAGCAGGCAAGCCCGGGTTGGTGGGCGCGGGCAGCCCAGGGTGTTGGGATGAGGGTAAAGGCCCCGGGGGTGCCACGCTCGGGGGGCCTCAGCGTGGAGCCTGCACACACCGCAGCTCACAGACCCTCGGTTGCTCACGCATGTGGTACCTGGTACCGGGGGTTCCGGCTACCCTGTGCGCGCCACGGTGCCAACACTCACCCAGGTTGTTTTGTCTTGTTTTGGAGGCACACTCAGCAGTGCTTAGGGGTCACACCTGGCTCTACACTCAGGGATCACTCCTGGCGGTGCTCTGGGGACCATATGGGGTGCCGGGGATGAAACTCAGGGCGGCCACGTGCAAGGCCAGGCCCTCCCTGCTGGACTGTCACACTGGTCCCCGGTTTGTTATGTTTGGGGGCCGCTCCTGCCTCTGCGTTCTGGGTTGCTTCCTGGAGGTGCTCAGGGAACTGCACAGCATCGGGATGGAGCTGGGGAGCTCTGTGTGCGAGCCTGTGCTCCAGCCCTTGTTTACTTGTAAATGACTTAAGGGGAGGGCGTTTGCCTCGCACGCAGCCAGCCCGGGTTCCTTCCCTGGCATCCCATATGGTTCCCCAGCACCACCAGGAATAATTCTTGAGTGCAGAGACAGGAGTAACCCCTGAGCACTGCCAGGTGTGCCCACCCCCAAATAAACCAAAATAAAATAATAAAATGATTACAAGGGGCCCGAGAGGTGGTACGGGGGTCAGTCTGTTTGCCTTGCGTGAGCCTCACCCCTGTTCAATCCCCAGCACCCGATTTGGTCCCCTGAGCATCACCAGGCGTGGCCCCCAAACCTTAAATAAGTGAACAATAAACTGCTCATAAAGAGCTGCTGGTCACTTGGCGTCTTCGTTTCCCTTTTTCCTGCTCTGCGCCCCCTGACCCCCCCCGCCCCCCCCCCCCCGCATCTCTGCCACCTTCAGCCCTGCCAGCCTGGGCTGTGGGCACTCGGCTGCTCCTCTCTCAGGAGTGGGCTGGTTTGTTTTCTGAGTGTCCTTTTGTTAGCCAGTATGTTTTTTGGAAGCAAAAGAGTTTTATTTAGAAAGATACCGGGGGTGGGGGGAGAGACAGACAGACAGACAGACAGACTGCCCCACAGTACACCGCAAGTGGGGGGCAGCTGACGGTGCCTTTAATTAGTGTTTTTAATGCCAGTTGTCCGGATAAAGTGCTCTTTATTATTAGTTGCGGGGCCACACCCTGCAGTGCTCCCGGGCTGGGGCCACTCCTGGCGGTGCTCAGGGGCCCCCGGGGCCACACCCGGCAGTTAGGGCGCCGGGCACACGGCGCCAGGTCTGGGCCGCACACGTTCTTGCGGGACCGGCTGTCACATGGCGGGGACCTGTGGGTGGCAGGCAGAGGACGAGGACTCCGAGCCAGGCGCCACGACTTGTCCAGAGTCATCCAGAGCGCCCACGGCGGTTCAGGCTCCAGGAACTGAGCTCACTGCAGTGCTCACTGCGAGAGCCTGTGGCGCCACTGGAAATGTGTTTGGGGCCCCACCGAGCAGTGCTCAGAGCTACCCGGCACCTCTCCTCGGGGCTCTGGGGGGATCAGATGGTGCCAGGGGCTCTTTAGCGCTGGGCTCAGTGACCCCTGGTGGTGTTTGGGCTTCAGAGCTTTGAACCTCAGTGTGACATCTCTCTCTCTCTCTCTCTCTCTCTCTCTCTCTCTCTCTCTCTCTCTCACACACACACACACACACACTCCTGGTAGAGGTCAAGGAACCATATGGGGTGCCAGAATCGAACCCGGGTCAGCTGTGTGCAAGCCAAGTGCCCTGCCCTCTGGACTATCGCCCCTGCCCTGTTTCGAGTATTTTTGCGTTCCTTGAACCGCATCTGACAGTGCTCAGGGCTCACTCCTGGCTGCGCGTGCAGCATTCAGGAAACCATATGGGATTCTGGGGGTCCCACCCGAGCCAGCTGCCTGTGTGTAAGGCAAGAGCCTTAGCAGCTGTGCTATCTCTCTGGCCACTGGAAATGTGTCTAGGGTTGGTTTGTTGTTTTGTCTTGTTTGGGGGCCACACCCAGCGGTGTTCAGGCAATACTTCTGGCTCTGCGCTCAGAAATCATTCCTGATCGGCTTGGGGGACTATATGGGGGATCGAATCCAGGTCGGCTGTGTGCAAGGCAACCGTCTCTCCAGCCCTAGAAGTATTTTTCTAGAAAGCACAGTCGAGCCAGGGATGTGGCCAGCAGTTGAGCTCTTGGCTGGATTCTCCGAGGCCCTGGGTTTGAATCCCAGCGCCACAGAAATGACTGACTTGGCATTGTTGTAAAATAGCAAACCAACCAACCACAGTTAGAGACCCCAGAGTCCATTGATATTCAAACAGACACTTGAGAGTTTACAGGGGAAATCTCCGTCCAAGGCCATGGGGAAGTGCCACTTTCACCTCTGAACCCAAGGTGGCTGCTCCACCTCCTGCTGTCACATCACGCATTCCAGACCTAGGGTAGACGAAAAGGGCAAAGGGCTCTTACACCTTCCAAGTGCATCCCGGCGGCCAGAGAGCCTGGGAAATGGTGAAGGGGCCCCGCGAAGCAGGAACTAGGCAGCTCTGTTCCTTTCTTTGGGGGATGGGGCGGTGGTGAATTGAACCACACCTGCCAGTGCTCAGGGCTTGCTCTTGGCTCTGCATTCAGGGATCAGCCTTGGTGGCATGTGAGGGACCCTTGGCGGTGCCGGGGATGGAACACTACATGCCTCACCTCCTGAGCTTGCTCTTCGGCCTAACAGCTCTGTCTTTTTTTTTTTCCTGGCTTTTTGGGTCACACCCAGCGATGCTCAGGGGTTACTCGTGACTCTGCACTCAGGAATCATTCCTGGTGCTGCCCTATGGGAGGCCGGGGATTGAACCCGGGTTGACCGCGTGCAAGACAAACGCCCCCCCACCCCCACCCCCCCATGCTGTTGCTCTGGCCCCAGCTCTGTCTAAAGGGAAAGTTCCGGTCACAGTTGGGGCCACGGTTGCAGAGGTCGCCAAGGCCCTCCAGGGACTAGTGGGATGGGTGGGGCGGAGGGAGAGCTGAGTTCATCTTGTCCAGCCACGGGCTGCAGAGACATGCTGGGCCTCGGGCAGTGGCCTGAGGGCCCCGAGCTGGCCGGGAGCAGTGCCTGCAGGTGCTGAGGTGTGTGCGGGCGCCCTGGGCCCCAGAACCCCAGCATCCTGCAGCCCGAAGACACTGTGGGCATCACAGCTGTGGGGAGGGTGAGGGGGATGTCAGGCTGCCCGAGGGCATGGGCTGGCCCCTCCTGGACTCCGCTCATCCCTCGCTGCTCCCGCAGGCTACGACTTTGCGGCTGTGCTGGAATGGTTTGCCGAGCGTGTGGACCGCATCATCCTGCTCTTCGATGCCCATAAGCTGGACATCTCGGACGAGTTCTCGGAGGTCATCAAGGCGCTCAAGAACCACGAGGACAAGATCCGGGTGGTGCTGAACAAGGCGGACCAGATCGAGACACAGCAGCTGATGCGCGTGTACGGCGCCCTCATGTGGTCGCTGGGCAAGATCATCAACACGCCCGAGGTGGTCCGCGTCTACATCGGCTCCTTCTGGTCGCACCCGCTGCTCATCCCCGACAACCGCAAGCTCTTCGAGGCCGAGGAGCAGGACCTGTTCAAGGACATCCAGTCCCTGCCACGCAACGCCGCACTCCGGAAACTCAACGACCTCATCAAGCGGGCACGGCTGGCCAAGGTAGGCGCGGGCTCCGGGCCCGACTGCCGCCTCCGGGGTTGCCCGGAAGGAGAGTGTGGTGGAGGGTACCCGGGGCCTCGTGGCACTCTCCCTGCTCTGTTGGCACAGAAGTGCCCACCCCTGCCAGCAGCCGAGGGGGCAGCCGGATGCCCGGAGGAAGGGAAGGGGAAGTTGTTGGTGCAATGCCAGCTCCTTGCTGCAGACGCTCAGGAGGCAGCGAGCAGCGAGAGTTGGGTGCCCCTCCCCCCAGGCCTGTGCACGGCCCCCGACACCACAGAACCAGTGCCTGGCCGGGCGCCCTGGGGGTGGGGACGCTTCCTCGCACCCCTGGGAGGACCCCAGACTGGCAGGTGTGGAGCAGAGAACAGCTGGCTCTGTCGCGGGGTCCCCCATGCACGAGAAGCAGCAGAGAACAGAGGAAGTGTGGGGGGGGGGGGCATTGTGTGCTCTGTCACTGTCAGAGATCCTGACAGCTCCCGGGCTGGGACGACAGGGAGGACGCCTGCCTGCACGCGGCCAACCCCGGGTTCGATCCCCGGCATCCCATAGGGTCCCCCAAGCACCGCCAGGAGTGATTCTTGAGGGCAGAGTCAGGAGTAACCCCTGAGCACAGCCAGGTGTGACCCCAAAGCAGAAGAAAGTGGTGAGGCTGAGGGCAGGTTTGCACGCGAGACCCGGGGATCGATCCCAGTACCTTGTACTTCCGCAAACTGAAACCAATGAGCTGGGAGACGGTCCCGTTCCTGGCGCTGTGGGGTTCCCCGGGCACCTGCCGGGCGTGACCCAGAAACACAAAAACAAAACAGTCACCTCCAGGGCGTGGCGCCAGCTGTCGGGTGCCCGGTCTCGTCCTGCCCGCAGGCCCCACTGTGTGTGGCGCAGACCTGGCCCATGGCCGGACACCCACACAGTCCGGAGCCCGAGGCCAGAGCAGTGACCCTCCGTCCTGCCCCTCATGGTGGCCTTTCCGGCCCCGCACGTCCCTGACAGAGTGTGGGTCCTCGGACCCCAGCCTGGGTCCAGGGTCTCCAGCTCCTCACATGCCCGTCACAAGCATTGCTGGGGGTGCGTGTGGCTCTGGGGGCCGAGCATAAGCCATTTGTGGTCACCAGGGCTTGACCCTGGCACTGCACGGTCCCCCGAGAGTCCTGGATGTGTTCTCTCCCGAAGATCTCACTTCTGGAACCTTCCCTGGTAGTGAGCCTGGTTCTGAGAAAAGGACCCTGAGCAAAGCCGAGGTTGGCCCCGAGCAGTGGAGGGGGGCCCATCTCAGGCCGGGGTTCTGCCTGTTCTCCACAGCTGAGGGCCACCCCCTGGCTGCAGGCGTGCAGAGTCGCCCACCTGGGAAGCCCTGTCCCCTGCCCCGCCCCCCCACCACTTTTCTGATCGGCTGGCTCGATACGTGCCCCTGATGCTCTGGCCATTGTGAAGTAGGAAAGGAGAGAGCTCTGGCCACTGCGGAGTGAGAAATTGGGGGCACACTGGCTACTTTGGGGCAGAGCAGTGAGGGGCCTCTGACAGGTGCTCTGGGCGGGTGGACCCGGCCAGCATTGAGGTGACCGGGGGCAGGGACTCAGGCTGGCTGGCTCGGCGGCTGGGCCCTGCTGAAGGAGGCCTGTCAGGGCAGCCGGATTTGAGGGCTGGTCCCTGGAGGGTCGCCAGCCTTCCCGCCTGCGGTGGGGAAACAAGGGGTGTGGCACCCTTACCGGGTGACGTCAGACTGCCCGGTGGGGTTTACTAACCCTGAGTCACACCGCAAGTCCCCCAGGATGGGTGCATGGGGCAGTGCCTAGGCCGTCACCTCGGCCCGCGGCAGCCTCGCGCCCGTGCCCCGCTGACCCCCGCCCTGCCCCCAGGTCCACGCCTACATCATCAGCTCCCTCAAGAAGGAGATGCCCAACATGTTCGGGAAGGAGAGCAAGAAGAAGGAGCTGGTGAACAACCTGGGCGAGATCTACCAGAAGATCGAGCGCGAGCACCAGATCTCGCCCGGCGACTTCCCCAGCCTCCGCAAGATGCAGGTGCGGGGGGTCCCCGGGAAGCCGCGGGCCCCGCCCAGACCCCACCCGAGTCGGGCGCTGACCAGGCCGTGACTCCTGGCGGGGGAATGCGGTGACTCACCGGCACGGCGAGGGGGGAGTCGTGCCAGGCACCCCGCGTCCTCCCTCCGGTCTGGCTGCAGCCCTGGGAGGGAGGTGCCGGCCTCACGCCGGTGTCGGGGGACGGGGGCTGCCGCGAGGTTCTGGAACCTTCCCTGGGGGGGACCCCAACCCGCCCTGATGCCCGGCCCCACCCCCTTCCATCCCAGGAGCTGCTGCAGACCCAGGATTTCAGCAAGTTCCAGGCCCTGAAGCCCAAGCTGCTGGACACGGTGGACGACATGCTGGCCAACGACATCGCGCGGCTCATGGTCATGGTGCGCCAGGAGGAGTCGCAGATGCCCTCGCAGGCCGTCAAGGGCGGCGCCTTCGAGGGCACCATGAACGGGCCCTTCGGGCACGGCTACGGGGAAGGGGCCGGCGAGGGCATCGACGACGTGGAGTGGGTGGTGGGCAAGGACAAGCCCACCTACGATGAGATCTTCTACACGCTGTCGCCCGTCAACGGCAAGATCACGGGCGCCAACGCCAAGAAGGAGATGGTCAAGTCGAAGCTGCCCAACACGGTGCTGGGCAAGATCTGGAAGCTGGCCGACGTGGACAGGGACGGGCTGCTGGACGACGAGGAGTTCGCACTGGCCAACCACCTCATCAAGGTCAAGCTGGAGGGCCACGAGCTGCCCGCCGACCTGCCGCCGCACCTCGTCCCGCCGTCCAAGCGGAGGCACGAGTGAGCCGCGCGGCGGGGGAGGGGAGGCGCCCCGCTTCTCACGGTCCATAAAGGCCGAGCCCAGTGGCCCGGCGCGCAGAGGAGACGCCCCATCTTTCTTTCCGGGCCTCACGGGCCCCGGGGGAGGCGGGCGGCGCTCGGGTTGGAAGGCTGGAATTTTGTGCACAAGAACTGTGGATATTTTTAATATATAACGTTCGAGGCAGTATTCTTTCTTGCCTCCTCCTCCTCCTCCTCCGTCTGGTCACCCACGCACGCCCAGCCTGACCCCTCTGCCGGCCCCCAGCCACTGGCAGGCACCTCGGGGCACCCCTGCCAGGCTGCCCCACCCGTCCTCTGCCCCCGCCCCCACCCCGCCTGTGCCCCCACGCCCGGGTTAAGTGCCCCACCAGCTTCGCCCTCCACCCCTCTGCCTCCGTCTCCCCGACACAAAGCCCCACCGTCGGGGGCACCTGTGAGCAAACGTCTTCCAGAGAAACATAAGCTAGGCTGGGCGGGTCGCAGGGCCCCTCACGCACCGGCCCCGCCTTCTCTGTCCCATCGGCAAACTGTGACGGCCTGTCCACACTCCAACGCCCGCTGCGCCAGCTCCATGTCCCCCAGGGTGACGTGTCCTCAGGAGTCTGGGCTGCTCGGTGCTCCAGCCACAGGGACCAGGCCCCTCCCCTTCACCTGGGGGGAAGGGAGGGGAGACGTGGGACCAATGCCCCCCCCACCCAGAGTCAGCCACTGGGACCAGGAGCTGGGCCTGGGTCGGGGCGTCCGTCACCCCATGGGGGCCTCAGGGACGCGCTGCTCTCCACCCCCCTGGGTCCCAGTGGCCAGGGACCCACCCTGAGACCTCGTCCACACTCTAGACGGCATTCGGTGAGGACAGCGGTGCCAGTTCATGGGTGCGCCACTGTCCGGGCACCGACTTCTCCACACTCACCTGTGGAAGCAAAAGCAACTAAAGACGAGACTTTTCTTGCATTAAAGACACTGAACGGTGCAGAGGTCGGCTCTGGCGTCCTTCCTGGGGGGGTGGGGGGGGCGGGGGAGGGCCAGACCCATTGCGGCATCACACCCTCCAGGGGGAGCCTTGTGCTCTGAGTGCTTGGTGGGTAGTTGGGGGCCCCTCTGATGGCAGGGGATATGCCCCTGTCGGGTTACGGCCAGCACCCGCACTGGAGTCACCTCAGGACAGACATGGGTGGAGCTGGGCGCTGGGCTCAGCTAGCCCCAGGCGGGGGTCTAGACAGCTGGGAGGAGCTCTGATATCCCAGTGACAAGAGGACAATTAGGAGGGTTGGGACCAGCATGCGGCCAGATGAGGGAGCAGATAGGGACAGAGATAGGGGTGCTGGCTGGCACAGTGGGTGCCGTGGGTGTGGGGGAACCTCAGGTGCCAAGGCACAGGCCCTGAGTTTGGGGGCCAGTTGGGCGCCCCAGCCCCCAAGCCTAATTGTGTTTGTGGGGTCCCTGGGCCACCCCATTCCATGCAGTAGGCTGGCCATATGGGGCCTCACTTCACAGCCACGAGGATGCTCGGTTACAAGTGGAATGGGGTGAGCTTTAAACCTGGAGGGAGGCGCCAGAGCGATAGTACAGTGGGGAGGGCGTTTGCCTTGCATGTGGCCCACCGGGGTTCAATCCCCGGCATCCCATGTGGTCCCCCCGAACACCGCCAGGAGTAATTCCTAAGTGCAGAGCCAGGAGTAACCCCTGAGCATCACCGGGTGTGACCCAAAAAGCAAAAGAAAAAAATCAGAAAAAAACCTAGACGGAGTAAAAAAATAATAATAAACCTGCAAGGAGACAAGTTCTGTGCCCGGGACCTTGTCTTGCGTGAGACCCACCTGGTTTTGGTCCCTGGCACCTCATATGGTACCCCGAGCCCCATCAGGTGTGGTCCTGAGGGCAGAACCAAGAGTAAACCCTGAGCACCATCAGGTGTGGCCCAAGAACAAAACAGCAGCGGATGAGCATTCGCCTCAACTTGCATGCCTTGCAGGCGGCTGAACCCAGGTTCGATCCTCAGTATCCCATATTCCATCCCAAGCACCGCCAGAAATGATCCTGAGTGCAGAGCCAGGCGTAACCCCTGAGCGTCTCCGGGTGTAACCAAAAGCTTAAAATGCAAAACAAAAATATTTGGCACCAGCTCTAAGCCCCCTGAGCTGGAGAGGGGCATGCCCAGAGAGGTTCAGACCGGGCAGTGCCACCCAGCACTCCTGCATGCAGAGGCCTGTGGGCAACTCAGTCCTTGGAGGCTGGAGGGGCATCGGAGGGAGGGTTTGCTCCCAAGCGATGCTCAGGAGGCCTTGTGGTACCAGGGAACAAAGCAGGGTGGCCGCGTGCCAGGAGTGCGCCTCAGCCCCTGCCCTAGCCCCTCAGCGACCCCTTTAGCCAGGTCACGCCTGGTCGCCCTTGAGAGTCCCCAAGGCCAGGCCAGGCACTGCTGGTGTGGAGCCCCGGGGCCTGGCTCTGTGCGTGGCATTTGCTCCGACCACAGCCCCTGTTCTGGAAAAACACAGCAGTGAGGAGAAGCGAAGTCCCGCTGGAAACGGCCCAGGACCTCAGCAAAGGACTCTGTCCCTGCAGACAGGCGTCCTGGGGAGTGTGGGCTGCTGGCGCTGTTGGTAGTGACCCCTCTGTGCCCTGCACAGACCCGGCTGCTCACTAGGGGAGCAGTGAACCCCCCCTTAGTCTGCCCTGAGCCAGCCCTGCCCTCCGGTTCTGGTCCAAGTGTGATGGGTTCCAGCCGGCCAGTGGCTGTCACTCCCAGACGCCCAGGGCCCCCACCCCCCAGGACTGCGCTGCTTCACAGATGCAGGGGGCCCAGGCGGACAGACCCAGGTCCAGTCCCAGGCCTGACCCGGCCCTTCCGTCCGGCGTCTGCTTCCTCCTGCACCGGTGGCGGGGCGGACCCTGCCCTCTGCCTCCCTGAGGCCCGCCACCTCCAGCGAGCACAGGGCGCCTGGCCAGGGTGGGGAGAAAGGCGGGAAAACAGCCCCCCCCACCCCGCCCAGCTCCCAGAACACGCTCCGCTCCGGACGCACCGTCCCCGCAGATGCGGAGACGCCCAGGGTCACTGGCCCCGGGGGCTCGGGCCTGGCTTCCTGTGTACTGAGTGATCGATAATGATAAAAGCACGTGGGGTGCGAGGCTGGGAGCGTGGGAGCCCCTCTGCGGGGAAGGAGCCAGCGATGGGATTACCATCTGCGCCCCATTTGGAGCCGTGGGCTTCTTAGAGGCAGGACACGCCCACTGGGGGCGGCAGGGAGGGGTGCTGGGAGAAGCATCATGGGTGGGGGCCCCCCAGCCCAGCGTGCCCTCCCCCCTCTGACCAATCCCAATAAAAAACATTTCAAGGGAGCAACAGTTTAGCGGAGAGGGAGGGCACATGCCCGGTACGCAGCAGACCCAGGTTCAATCCCCGGCACCCCATATGGCCCCGCCAGGAGGGGCCCCTGAGCACAGCGCCTCAGTTGCCCTGAGCACTGCTGGTGCAGCCCCAAACAAGAACGTTTTCAGAGACCACACCCCTGTGTGCTCTGCCCAGTGTCCACCAGGGCGCCTGTCTAGTGAGCAAGGCAGCCTCGGGACCTCTGTTCTCCCGCTCCAGGCAGGTAGACCCTGCAGGACTGGCTTCTGGGCTTCTGGGCATCACGGGCTGGGCTCGGGGCACAGGAAGCCACAGATGGCCCGAGACCAGAGCCGAGGGTTGTGCTCTGGGCCAGAACGCTCTGGGACAAGGCAGGGGAGACCTGCCCTTCTCCAGAGGGGTCCCCAGGCCCAGCCCCTCCCCCTCTCACCCCCTCACGCTTTGCAGGCACCATCAGCACCTCCACCTGGCCTCCCTGTCTCCCACATATGGCCCCACATGCTGCCCAGGCGCTGCCGGGCAGTTACAGAGCCCAAGTCTGGCACCCCCTCGCTCCACCCCAGCCTCAAGATACTGTTAAGGGAGGCTCCCCCTTCTAGAAGAATCTGGAGACGATGGCGGGATCAGAAGTTATTGACACACTACCAAGCAGTGGTGCTGCGGACTTCAGGTTACCCTGCTTCACACCCCACAGCCCAGGGACTAGGGAGGGGTGGGGAGTGGGGAGCAGGGGTCAGGCCCCCACAGCGCGGGGACCCAGGGAGGGGTGGGGAGTGGGGAGCCCGGGGAGGGGTGGGGAGTGGAGAGGAAGGGTCAGACCCCCACAGCGCAGGGACCCGGGGAGGGGTGGGGAGTGGGGAGCAGGGGTCAGCCCCCCCCCACAGCGCGGGGACCCGGGGAGAGGTGGGGAGTGGGGAGTGGGGAGCAGGGGGCGGGCCCCCACAGTGCGGGGACCCAGGGAGGGGTGGGGCGTGGGGAGCCCGGGGAGGGGTGGGGAGTGGGGAGCAGGGGTCAGGCCTCCACACCGCAGGGACCAGCCAAACCCGATTCTGGCTTGGTGGGGTGGCTTGGGGCAAGAAGCAGGAGCTGGAGGAGTTTGAAGAAGGCGCAGAGGGGGTGAGGGGGGTGGGAAATGGTCTCCTTGGGGGCCCCCTGGGGGCAGGCCCCCAAGCACGGCCAGGCTGAGAGCAGATCTTCCTCTGGTGTCCATGGCACCTGCGGAAACAGAGGACAGAGCGCCACAAGTGGGTGGCACTTGCACCAGCCAATCCTGAGTCTGCTTGGGGCTGGGGGCACACACTTGGGGGGTGGGGGGCCTGGAACTCTTGGTGCGCCTGCGCAGAAGGACGAGCTCCGGCCCCCCTGACCCTGGGACGGGGCCGGATGCCCCTCCAGACCAGGAGATGGAGCCTGGCACCAGGGTGTAGCGAGAAGTGGCCCAGGGACCCCGCTTCAGCACAGCGTCGCCGAGCACCGGGGCCCAGACCCGAGGGCGACAGTCTCCTGGATTCGGCACTGGGTTCAAATTGCTCTAGTTTATTATGAATGACTTCGCTCCGGGTTTGTGACTGAAACAAGGTCACAGATCACAGGTACGGAGAGAGGCCGCTTCTGCACCTGCCAGAGAGAAGGGGCATAATAGCCACCAGCTGGAGGGAGGGAGGAGGCGAGGCAGGCTACACCCGCTGTCTGGAGGGAACAGTCCGTGCCAGGGCAGCGGCTGTCTCTGGTCTCGGGTATCTGGGGGTCTGGATGGACACAGACCCCCGAGGAGAAGCAGCAGACCCGCAGATCTCGGGCTCAGGGAGAACCTGGTGGGGCTCCAGGTCTGCGACTAATTTCTTTTTTCTCTTTGGGTCACACCCGGCGAGGCACAGGGGTTACTCCTGGCTCTGCACTCAGGAATTACTCCTGGCGGTGCTCGGGGGACCATCGGGGATGCTGGGAATCGAACCTGGGTCGGCTGTGTGTAAGGCAAACGGCCTACCAGCCATAATATCGCCCCAGCCCTCCGCGACTCATTTCTGCTCACCACTGTGGGGCTGTGAGAACCCAGGGTTCAGGGGAGCAGCTGGGATGGAGAGTGAGTCAGGATGCAGAGTCCCTTGACCACTGACCCAGGGACCACGGTGGGAGACCACGGATTAGCCCTCTACCCATTTCCCATCCCAACTTGTGGTATGAGGATGCAGCCTCCGGTGCCAGCATCAGACGCCAGCAACGGGCCTTCCACTGGTCTCTGGCGCCCCCCTGTGGCCTTGAGGGTGGACCCTTCTTCCAGGGACACCCAGGATGACACCCGAAATGCCACAGGTGAGGAAGGACAGATGGACTTGTCCAACTCTTGTCCGGAGACATAGAAGCAGTGACAAGATGTTCAGGTTTGGGCCAGAGCCCACAGCCCTGAGCCCAGCTGAGTGTCCTGGGTGACACAGTCCGGCTGTTACCCTATTTCCCCAACCTCAGAGCAGCGGACGGGAGCAAACGCGACTCCCTTTGACGCCCGTGCATGTCAGGGGCTAACCCTTGGCTTAGCACCTCACCCTCAGCAGAGGACCTCTGACCCCATCGGGGCTCCATCAATGGCTCGCCTTTGAGGAAAGCACAGATATTGGGGGCGCACAGCTAGCAGGGCGCAGGCTGACTCCTTGGTTCTGTGCTCAGAGATCACTCCCGCGGACCCGGGGGGAACTGTTGGCAGTGCTAGAGATGGAACCTGGGTTGACTGTGGGCAAGGCCAGTGCCCTCCCCGCTGGACAATCACTCGGCTGGCCTCGATCCCCCCTGCAGAGATCTTTTAATGAAAGAAGAGCGTTGGCTGCACCCACCGATTCCTTTAGTCACACCCAGGGTCCCGTGGTCTGGGGCAGCAAAGCTTGAAGACCGCTGGGCAGAAATCAGAAATCGCGCTGGCCAGACCCACCCGTCCAGCCCAGCTTGGCCCGCACGATCTCCGCGGGGCCCACTCGCACCCTAGACTTAGTCGCAGACAGTGACCAGCCCCACGGGCTGCAGGGGACAGCACCGGGGACCTCCACCTTAGTCCTTCCAAGCCTCAGTCAGTCCATCTGCCAAATGGGTGGAGCCATCCCTGCCTCCCTTACCTGTCTCCCTGATCGAATGTAACGAAAAAAGAAAATACACACACATACACCCCAAAGTCAAAGGCCAGCCAGATTTGAAATGGGGGTGCCCAGAGCGGCCACCCGGGAGGGAGCGGACTACAACTCCCATCCGGCTGCGGGGCCGCGGGCGACCCAGCCCCTCGCCCCTGAGGGGAGCGAGCGGGGCCGCGGCCCCAGGGAAGGGGAGCGGCTGTGCCCGGGTCACTCCTCCCGTCGCCGAGGGCCCCGCGCCGAGGGGGACCCTGGGGTGGCGCGAGACCCCGGGCGCCCCTCCCGGGCCCCGGGACACCCCCTGACCCCGCCCCGCCCTGGACTCGCTCCTCGGGGCCCGCCCCCCCACTTCCTGGCCGGAGGTTGGCCCCGGCCCCGCCCCCTCGCTTCTCCCATTGGCCGCCGCGCACCTGCCCGTCCGTCGGGGGGCGGGGCGGGGGGCGGGGCGCGGCGCCCAGGTGAGGGCGCGCAGCGGCCGCGGAGGAAGGTGACAGCGGGGACGGCGGGAGGGGGGCGGCCGCGCGCGGACCGTCCCGCGGGCCGACAGACGGACGGACAGAAGGGCATGCGGGAGGCCCGGCTCTAGCCCAGGCGCGGGGCTCCGGCGGCCGCAGCCATGGAGCGGCGGCTGCGCGCGCTGGAGCAGCTGGCGCGGGGCGAGGCCGGCGCCGGCCCGGGACTCGACGGCCTCCTGGATCTGCTGCTGGGGCTGCACCAGGAGCTCAGCAGCGCCCCCCTGCGGCGGGAGCGCAACGTGGCGCAGTTCTTGAGCTGGGGTGAGTGGTCCAGGGGGGAAGGGCAGGGGGAGGGCGCGCGGCCTGGGACACGCCCCCCGTCGGGACCCTCTGCCCGCCGCCGCGCTCCACGTGCAGCAGACCCACCGGCCCGCCCCCCTTCCCAGCAGACACCCCGTCCTGACCCTGACACGTGTCCCTGGACCCCCATACCCAGCTTTCCTTCGCAGATTCACGCACTCCCTCCACTCCCAGACCCTGGCGTGTGCCCACAGCACACAGCTCTGCGGACACACACAGTGTGACCCTGGGCACAAGCCCCAGACAGACGGATCGCCTCCAGAGTCCCCTAGAGGGTTCCTTCACTGACAGATCACCCCTCCGGAACCGGGAACACACACACACACACACACACACACACACACACACACACACACACACACAGAGCCCAGCTCGCAGACCCACACAGGCCTCCCCACCCTGCCTCCACCTGACCCCCACCCCCCAGCACAGGGCACTTGGACTCCCAGACTGGACATGATTCCAGATCCACCTCAATCCCTCTGATCAGGCCACCAACCAGGTTTCCTGCGGGCTGATCCCCAGGGCTGGGCGGGGTGGAGGGGGGACCTATCCGGGGGTGGGTCTGTGCCCCTTCCTGGTTAACTCTGAGTCACCGGGAGTGGCTGGCCCGGGGTGACCCTGAACCCAGTGTGGGTTCCGGTGCCAGCCTCAGGGTTCCCTGGTCACACCCAGCTGGCCCCGTGGACAGCGGTGGGAGGAAGGTCTATGTGTGTCCAGTGGGCCACCAGGGTCCCCGGCTTTCTGAGCAGGCACGGCCCAGCGGGAGCCCACAACAGGAGCCAACAGGTTGGCCCCGTTTTCCAGGCTTTCCCAGGCCCCGCCTCTGGGTCCTGCCGGTTGGGGGGATCTGCTCCTCAGGGGCGTGTGTGACCGTGTTGTCATCACCCTGGGACGCCCACACGTGTGTGGCTGTGTGCGCGCACACACATGCCCACATGCGCCCCTCCCTGCCTCCCCGGCGCCTGTGCGGGACCCCGGCGCGGGGGGTGGGGTGCGCCGTGTTGACATCTCCCCAGTAACTCCCCACCAGTGGTGACTCACGCCTCTGCTGCCCTAACTTGTCCCTGTGGCTGCCCGGAGCCCCCGGGCCCCGGAGTCAGCGAGGAGAGCAGGGAGCCTGGCTTGAGGGTCCCTGGCTCTGGGCCCCTGGCTCGAGCCCCTCCCTGGCGCTGGGCCCGGCCTGGGTCCCCCCAGGAGGCGGGCGGCTGTACCCCAGCAGCGAGAGCCGATTAATTCTGGTAATGAGGTTTGCACACCACCCCTGCTGCGGGGGTTCTGCCTGACAAACCTGTGTGGCCGCTCTCTCTCCCTCCCCCAGACCCGCCCAGCTCCCAAGGAGTGGCCCTTCTGGCAGGGGAAACTGAGGCAGGGAGTCCCATGGCCCCTGGGGCCCAACTCAGCTGATTGCTGTTCCTCGGCCTCATAGGTCCTCCCAGGGAGGTCCTGGAGGGGGTGCGGGGGGGAAACTCCCTGGCTGCAGCAGGGACACAGTGCACGAGGTGCTGGGGGCCCCCACACCTGCCTGCACTCACCCACACCCTGGGGCTCCGTATCTGGAGTCTTGTGAGAACCTGGGCAGAAGTCTCCCTGCCCGCTGATGGGGGACATGTGGGGAGCCCCGCAGAGCCCCCGCCTGGCCTGGCCTGAGCGGGTGCCTCCGGGCTGCAGGGTTCCCCCCATGCCCGCCCGCCAGCAGGGAGGTCTCTGAGGACCAGGAATGTTGTCTGTCCAGTTCCCCAAGACAGGCCTCAGCGTGGACCTGCTGGGGGCTAGAACCGTGAGCTGGGGTGCCAGGAGTATCCCCCTCGTCCGAGTGGTCGGGCAACAGGCCGGGCCATGGTCCAGGGCCCAGCGCCCCAGGTGTGGAGCCGCACAGAGTCTGGGGCTGGGGGTCTAAGGTCTGGGCTCGCCCCAACAGCCCCTGGTCGGAACTGAAGGGGCCTCGGCTCCCGCCATCCCTGGGGGCGTCTCCCGGGCTGGCCCTCCCGGCAGGTGCTCCAGACTCTCCCCAGGGATACGGGGTCCCTGAGCGCCCTCTCTGCCCCCCACAGCTGGCCCCTTCGTCTCAAAGGTGAGAGAACTGCGGCTCCAGAGAGATGACTTTGAGATCTTGAAGGTCATCGGCCGAGGGGCCTTTGGGGAGGTGAGTGTGGGGGCCGGGAGGGGAGGGGGCGGCCAGTGGCCAGAGGGCGTAGGGGGTGGCCCCGGCTGACCCGGCGTCTCTGGCTGCAGGTGGCGGTGGTGCGGCAGAGAGACAGCGGACAGATCTTTGCCATGAAAATGCTGCACAAGTGGGAAATGCTAAAGAGGGCCGAGGTCAGTCTGGGGTTCTGCAAACTGCGGCGGCTGATGGGGGAGGGGGCGGCGAGGTCTCCGGGTTGGGGCTGGATGTGGACCAGGCAGCAGCCGCCCCAGCGCCCACCCACCTCCTCCCTCCCTGGCCCCCAGTCAGCCCTTCTCCGGAGGGAGCCGCTTTGCTCCCATTTCCCTGATTGAGAACACTGAGGCCCAGAGCCACAGGCAGGGCCCTGGGCTCTGATGGGGCCACCTTGACTTGGGCTCCTCAGTCAAGTGTGTTGCCCAGGCCGTGTGCGGGTCGGGGGCTTTCCTGGCTGACCCCCACCCTCCGTGCCTATCCCTGCTGCAGACCGCCTGTTTCCGGGAGGAGCGAGATGTGCTGGTGAAGGGGGACAGCCGCTGGGTGACCTCCCTGCACTATGCCTTCCAGGACGAGGAGTACCTGGTGAGGCAGCCGGGACAAAGGCGGGTGGGGCCCGGGTCCGAGGGGAGCGCGCATAGCCTGGTTCCCCCACCCCCAAGTCTGGAGCTGGCAGTGGGAGGCGGGAAGGGGTCCAGCCAGATGCCCCCCCTCACTGCTGCTCATCTCCGCCCCCCCCAGTACCTGGTCATGGACTACTACCCCGGCGGGGACCTCCTCACCCTGCTCAGCCGCTTCGAGGACCGCCTGCCGCCCGAGCTGGCGCAGTTCTATCTGGCCGAGATGGTGCTGGCCATCCACTCGCTGCACCAGCTGGGCTACGTGCACAGGTGTGGACAGTGACCTCAGCCCAGCAGCCACTGCGATCCCTGCCCGGGACAGGGTGGGGGTGGGGGGCGCTCGGGGCTGCTGTTGTCCCCGCTTCACTGCCGCTGAGGTCAGAGCTTAGCCGAGGGACATGCCTGGTTGGAGGCGACTTGGCTGGGGTAGGGCGGGATCATCTCCAGGCCGCCAGCCCCACCTCCCGCGCCTAAGAAACCCACACCAGGTGCTCCCCATTAGCCTATACACGGGTCAAGCTCCCCCTCCCTGCTGTCTCCCCCTCTCTCTCCCCCCAGGGACGTCAAGCCGGACAATGTCCTCCTGGACATGAACGGGCACATCCGCCTGGCCGACTTTGGCTCCTGCCTGCGTCTCAACAACAGTGGCATGGTGAGAACCCCACCCGGGATCCCAGTGGGCTCCTGCGGGCTGTGGGGGGCAGACTCCTGGGGAGGAAAGGCTGTCCATCCCCGGGCAGAGGGTATGAGGCCCAGTCTGGGCCGTGGTGAGGTCCCTGGGGCCATGATCATCACCCCCACAGGTGGATTCATCCGTGGCCGTGGGGACGCCCGACTACATCTCCCCCGAGATCCTGCAGGCCATGGAGGAGGGCAAAGGTCACTACGGGCCCCAGTGTGACTGGTGGTCACTGGGGGTCTGTGCCTATGAGCTGCTCTTCGGGGAGACGCCCTTCTACGCTGAGTCCCTGGTGGAGACCTACGGCAAGATCATGAACCACGAGGTCTGGCGGGGGGCTCCAGGGTCCCGGGGCAGGGGCCCACCGAGGAGGATCCTGGATTCTCACCACACACATGGCCCCTGGCCTGCAGGACCATCTGCAGTTCCCACCTGACGTGCCCGACGTGCCGGCCAGCGCCCGAGACCTCATTCGCCAGCTGCTGTGCCGCCAGGAAGAGCGGCTGGGCCGTGGGGGGCTGGACGACTTCCGGAAGCACCCCTTCTTCGAAGGCGTGGACTGGGAGCGGCTGGCCAGCAGCACTGCCCCCTACATCCCCGAGCTACAGGGGCCCATGGACACCTCCAACTTCGACGTGGATGATGACACTGTCAGCCCCCCAGTGAGTGCGGGTCCCTCTGGAAAACCGAGGGCCCTCCCCGGCCCCACCCCACCACTCTCGCCCATCCCAAACGGTCCCCACAGCCGTTTCTGGGCGGAGGTGAGGCCTCTGGACCCCAGAGGCTCCCGGGAGCTATGGCTCACCTGTGCTGATGTGGGTTGTGCCACGGTGATGTGGGTGACCTTTGACCCTAGTGTCCCCATGAGCAGCTGTGGAAGGGGCAGGACAGCCAGCCACACCTGGGAGGCGTGTCCTCAAGGCCACATGGCGTGGTAGGGGACGGGGCCCCCAGGATGCCCTCTCGTACCCTCACTCCGTCTCTCCCGCCTCGTCGCTCAGGGGACCCTGCCACCACCATCCCACGGCCCCTTCTCTGGCCACCACCTGCCATTTGTCGGTTTCACCTACACCTCAGCCAGGTGAGCACAGCCCCTGCGGATCTGTGGGGCCTTTGAAGCTGGGCCCATGTCCCCTGGGAACCCTGCCTCCAAGTGCCCCCCACAGAACACGCCCCAAGGCTGGCCTCAGGGGGCCATGCCCACTGCTGACCATCACTTTGTGACCCGTGGAAGGGCCCAATGCGTCCCGCTCATTTGTACCCCATGGGGTTCGACTCAGGGAAGAGGAGGTACCCCCAGGGCTTCATCGGACCCCCACCTCACGGAGCCTCGTGTGAGAGGGGCTTCCGGATGTGGCTTTCCTGTGGGGAAACTGAGGCTGAAGCTTTGCGGAACCGTTTGGGCTCACGTGGCTCATAAAGGGCCACAGGAACCACCGTGCTGGGCAGTCACCTGCAGGGTGGACTAGCGACGGGGGGGGGGGTCTCTGCCCAGCATCTCGTCCTCTCTCCCCAGCCTGAGCCCCGTGAGCAGCTCGGAGCCGGTGTCAACGCTGGAGCACGAGAAGGCTGAGCTGCGCCAGAAGCTCCAAGGTCTGTCCATGCACCCAGGCCGTGGCCGCACGAAGGGGCCCTGAGGGGCGGTGGGGGGGGGGGCACTGACTGCCACAGGGGAGCTTTCAGTTGTGGGCACCCCCTCCTTGCAGAGGCCCTCAGACCACTGGGAGCTGGAGCAGCTGCCCCCGCCCATCTTCACCCCGACCCTGGCAGGCACCTGACCCCGAGTGGGGCCTGACTTAGCACTGCGGGCCAGGCTTCCATTCCCTGAATTTGCTTGTAGAAGGGGTTTCAGGATGCCCTCCCCCACCCCCACTCCACCAGGGGGAACCTGGCTGAAGCCTGGGCGGGGGTCAGGGTGTGTGGGCCTCAGTGGTGATTCTTGGCAGAGACGCTGACAGACAGCAAGACCCCCGGGCCGCAGAGCGACCGGCCCCTCGCGGGCAGCCCAGGCGAGGGTGGCCATGAGCACCTGCGGCAGGTGAGCCGGGGGGGGAGCAGACTGGGTGCCCTGTCGGGGGTCCAGGCCCTGACCCTTCCCGTGTCCCGTCCCACAGGAGCTGGCCGAGGCCCAGGCCCAGCTGCGGGCGCAGGCTCAGGAGCTCCGCAGTGCTCTCGGCCGGCAGGAAGAGCTACTCCGGGGGCTGCAGGAGGCGCAGGGGCGCGAGGAGGCCGCGACCAGCCGCGTGCAGGCCCTGAGCACACAACTAGACGAAGCCCAGGGGGCCCGGAGGGAGGTAAGCCTTGAGGGTGAGGGCATGGGGAGCTGGCGGCAGGTGGCAGTGGAAAGCTAGGGTTCTCGCCTGGAGCGGGCTGTGTATTCTCCAGCCTGAGCCATGGATACTAGGGAGGGTGGGGTGTGATGAGGGTCATGCCCCCCCACCCATGTCTGAAGCCAGATGGGGGTGCGGGCTCAGGCAGATGGGGGGGGTGGCAGGCTCAGGCCCAGCACTGGAAGCTTGTCCATCATAGCTGCAGGCACAGGTGGCCACGCTGAGTCGGGAGGTTTCACGGCTCCAGACCCAGCAGGAGCGGAGCCCCGAGAAGGAGCGCACCCCAGTCAAGGTGAGGTTTCCTCCCTGCCCAGGGAATGTCCCTCTGGGCCAGGTCCCTGGCCCTGACCCTGCACCGTATCCTCCAGAACGTGCACACGGCCGCAGAGACCAACGGCACAGGGGCAGCCCCGAGTGGCCCCCAGGAAGTCCAGCTCAGGCGGGAGCTGGCTGCACTGCAGACACAGCTGGAAGAGGCCCGTGGCCAGGGGTGAGCAGGGTCCCTGGAGGCCGGGCAGGGGGAGCCAGGCTGGGACCAGGCGGTCACCCTCTGCTCCCCAGGTCCCAGGGCAAGGAGGAGGCCCTGTGCCGGCTGCAGGAGGAAAACCGGAGGCTGAGCAGAGAGCAGGAACGGGTGAGTCGGGCAGGTGGGGGCAAGAGACAGACTGGACAGCAGGGGGACGGGGGCGGGGGGGTTGGACAGACGGCAGGACAGAGTGGGGAGACAGCAGGGACAGGCAGTGGGACGGAGGAGAGAGGCAGACAGACGGCGGGACAGGGATGGAGAGAGAGGCAGACAGCCTGGGGTCCCTGGAGCAGGCTGTGTCCACCCTGCAGTGCCGGTGGTTGGTGGGCAAGCAGGGGTGTCCCCAGGCTGCTGGACCCTCAGGAGCCCCGTTTCCTTCCGGCCCCCAGCTGGTAGAAGAGCTGGAGCGGGAGCAGCAGAGCAAACAGCGGCTGGAGGGCGAGCGGCAGGAGACGGAGAGCAACTGGGAAGCCCAGATTGCCGACATCCTCAGCTGGTGGGTGCCGGGTGGGCGCGGGCTGGGCCAGGGGTTGAGCAGCCCAGGCCATAACCCTCACCCCTTTCCATCAGGGTGAATGACGAGAAGGTGTCCAGGGGCTACCTGCAGGCCTTGGCCACCAAGATGGCTGAGGAGCTCGAGTCCCTGCGCAACGTGGGCACCCAGACGCTCCCTTCCCGGCCGCTGGTGAGCCCCGTGCCCGAGGTAGAGGGTGTGGGGGACCCTGCTCTCCCCCAGCGAGTCGGCCGAGCTCCAGCAGGCAGCAGGACTGAGGCCTCGGGTGTCGAAGTCTCTCCGGGTGGTGCTCAGACCGTGGCCACCACTATGCTCCATCCTTGGGGCTGTCGCCCTGGATGCGGGGAGGTGCCAAGCCTGGCCAGGGCCATGAGGAGCCATGTGCTCCAGAGCACGGGCCCTGACGCAGCACCCTGGCCCTCAGGACCACCAGTGGAAGGCCCGGCGGCTGCAGAAGATGGAGGCCTCAGCTCGGCTGGAGCTGCAGTCGGCCCTGGAGGCCGAGATCCGCGCCAAACAGGCACTGCAGGAGCGGCTGACGCAGGCGCAGGCGGCGCAGCTGCAGAGCGAGAGGTAAGGGCCGAGGCCATGGGGGCTGCGGAGGGACCTCTGACCCCGGCAAAGCCAGGCGAGCCCTGATCACCTGGCCCGCCACAGCCGTCTGCAGGAGGCTGAGAAGCGGAACCAGGGGCTGCAGCAGGAACTGGCAACGCTGCGGGAGGAGCTGCAGGCCCGCAGGGCTGGCGGTGAGTGTTATGGGCACACCCCTGGGCCGAGGTGGCAGCACCCGGGCTCCCCAGAAGGAGCCGCAGTGACCCCCACCCTCTCTGCAGACTCGAGAACCTTCAACGCCTTGATTCCCTTCCTGACCTTCCGGAACTCGGAGGTGAGACTCCAGCACGGGGCTCGCTCTGGGGGTGCCCGTCCCAGGGAGGAGGTCCTTGATTTCGCCCCACCCCTCTGCAGAAGGACACCGCCAAGGACCCTGGCATCTCACCAGAGACCCCGAAGGGGCTGGAGCCAGAGCTGAGGCCCGAGGGCCGCCGCAGCCTGCGCCTGGGGGTGAGGACGGATGGGCGTCCACGGTTGGGGGGCCGACTCCCCTTCTGCCAGGGCCCACCTTACCTCTTCGCTTGCCCCCGATCCTGCAGGCTATGTTGCCCAGAGCGCCAGCCGCGGCCACCTCACCCACAGATGGTCAGCCTGCCAAGGTGAGCTCCCTGGGATGTGGAGTACAGGACTTTTGAGGGGCACCACCCCAGATAGGCCCACCCTGCCTGACCCCTGGGGGTGGCCTGGGGGGTGGGGGTGGGGTGACCAGGCGTTAGGGCCGTAACTTGCCCCCCCCCCCCCCCCCAGCCCGGCTCTCACACGCTGCGTGCCCGGAGCTTCCCCGCCCCCACCAAGTGCCTACGCTGCACGTCGCTGATGCTGGGCCTCGCCCGCCAGGGCCTGGGCTGTGATGGTAAGCATCCCGCATCCTGCCCTCACCCCCGGTCCCCGGCTGTCCCTCTTCACACCCCAGATTCTCTGGTCTCGCCCAGAAGGTGCTGGTGACACTGGGGCCAGCGTGGCCCCTGGAGGGGGCTGGAACTGCCCCCGCCAGCCACACACCACCAGCCTGTCCTCCCTTTCCTTGCAGTCTGCGGCTACTTATGCCACTGGGCTTGTGCCTCCCAGGCACCCCCCTGCCCCGTGGCCCCCGACCTCCTCCGCACAGGCCTGGGAGTGCATCCTGAAACGGGCACGGGCACAGCTTACGAGGGCTTCCTGTCGGTGAGTTGGGGGCGGCGGGGGTGGCCGAGTGTTGGGCAGGGGTGGTACCCGCCGTGGGGAGATCGGGGGGACCGCGGGGAGGCTAGCCATCATGGCGCTCCTTGCAGGTGCCCCGGCCGTCGGGGGTGCGGCGGGGCTGGCAGCGGGTGTTTGCCGCCCTCAGCGACTCCCGCCTGCTACTGTTCGATGCCCCCGACTCGCGGCTCAGCCCGGCCAATGGCGCCCTTCTGCAGGCTCTGGATCTGAGGTGGGTGCTGGGCAGGGCAGGCGCCAGAAGCAGGGAGATGGCCAGAGGCCGGCAGTTCTGACCCGCTCTGGGGTCCTCACAGGGACCCTCAGTTCTCAGCCACCCCTGTCCTGGCCTCTGACGTCATCCACGCCCAGACCAAGGATGTACCACGCATTTTCAGGGTAAGTATGGGGGGAGGGGGCGCTGGTTCTTTGCTCCTCCTGCCCCCCTATGAGCGTCCTGGTGCTCTGAGGTGACCCCCCGCAGCTGCTTTCTGATCCTCCCTACTGGGTTTGGCTCCCTCTGCTCAGAACTCCCACTCCCCGCTTCCTCCTGGTCACCCCACTCCTCCTGGCGAGAATGTCTCTTCCTTGGAGGGGGGGACACCCCGGAGCCTGGGGTAGGGGCTCCAACAAGCCTCAGGGGTCTTTCGGGTGCTTGTCTGACTCCCCTCCCCAGCACCCACTGGCCTGGGTTCTGCCCACAGGTGGCGGCTTCACAGCTGACGGTGCCCCCAGCCACGTGCGTGGTGCTGCTGCTGGCCGAGAGCGCGCAGGAGCGGGAGCGCTGGCTGCAGGTGCTGGGTGAGCTGCGGAAGCTGCTGCAGGACGCGCGGCCCCGGCCCCGGCCCGTGTATGTGCTCAAGGAGGCCTATGACAATGGGCTCCCGCTGCTGGCACAGACGCTCTGCGCCGCCGTGCTCGGTGAGCCACCGCGCGGGATCATCACCCCTTGCTGGCCCCCGCTCTCCTCGGGGGTTCAGGCGCAGGGGACCTGGGTCCCATTAGCTGTTTCCTGGTCTCCACGTCAGCTTGTCCCCAGAGCTCTCAGGAGTGACGAGAGTGGCTTTCTGGGCAGCAAGACCGTGCCAGGGGCTGGAGTGGAGTCCCCAGGTTCAATTCCAGCACTGCCTGGTTTCCCCGCCACCATTGGGGCAGCCCCCTGGGCACTGCTAGACCCGAGCAGTCCCCAGCTAAGTGTCACCGGGAATGACCCTGTGCCTCCGCTGTGGGGTAACTGGGGACCCCAACTCTGGCTCCTACAGGGCTGCCAGTTCAACTGGGAGACTAGAGAAGGGGCAGGGCAGGTCTCCGAGGTGGCCTCTTCTCTGGCCAGTGGGGGCCTCCCTGGGCGAGCCCACAGGACAAGAGCCTCAAGGGACACTGCAGGGGGAGCCCCCAGGTCAGTCAAGGTGAGGGGCTCTGCCAGTGTGTGTCCACTTCCTATGCAGCCTGAGCAGCTCTGTGAGGAACACATCCTATTGTCCCCTCTCTCCATCCAGGGAAACTGAGGCCGGAGAGGGGGCATCTCCCAGCATGGGTGGTGGGTCTCCCTCTCTCCTGCCCCCCTGGCCCTTCCCTGCTAGAGCCAGAAGAGCCTGAAGGAAACGGGTCCAGAGACACAGGGACGCTGGTCACTGTTCCCAGGTTTGCAGGAGAAGGTGACAAGTAGCATGGGTGGGAGTTGCTTCTGACCTTGCCCCCCTGTTCCCCCAGACCAGGACCGACTCGCCCTGGGCACCGAGGAGGGGCTCTTTGTCATCCATCTCCGCAGCAATGGTAGGTGCCGGCCTGGCACGGGCAGGGGTGCCCCGAGGGCCAGTGCTGGGACATCTCCTCACCCCCCCTGCTGTGATCCCACAGACATCTTCCAGGTGGGTGAGTGCCGGCGGGTGCAGCGTCTGGCCGTGAGCCCCACGGCGGGCCTGCTGGCGGTGCTTTGCGGCCGTGGCCCCAGTGTGCGCCTCTTTGCCCTGACGGAGCTGGAGAGCGCGGACGCCACAGGATTCAAGATCCCGGAGTCGCGGGGCTGCCAGGCGCTGGCGGCTGGGAGCATCCTGCAGGCCCGCACCCCCGTGCTCTGCGTGGCCGTCAAGCGCCAGGTGCTGTGCTACCAGCTGAGCCAGGGCCCGGCTCCCTGGCAGCGCCGCATCCGCGAGCTGCAGGCACCAGCGCCCGTGCAGAGCCTGGGGCTGCTGGGAGACCGGCTGTGCGTGGGCGCGGCTGGCACCTTCACCGTCTACCCGCTGCTCAATGAGGCCGCACCCATAGCCCTGGGAGCCGGGCTGGTGCCCGAGGAGCTGCCACCGTCCCGCGGGGGTCTGGGCGAGGCGCTGGGCGCCGTGGAGCTGAGCCTAAGCGAGTTTCTGCTGCTTTTCACCACTGCCGGGGTCTACGTGGACAGCGCTGGCCGCAAGTCTCGCGCCCACGAACTGCCGTGGCCAGCAGCGCCCACGGGCTGGGGTAAGACCTGTTCTGGGGGAGTTTGGGGAGGGGTTAGACGCCAGCAGGTCATTCCACATGTCAGAGGAAAATTCGGTCTTCCGCAAACTCCTGAACTTGGCTTTGAAGGCCCTTGTGTCATTCCAGCCTGTTTCCCCTGCCAGGGCTTGATCTTTATTGTTTATTTTGTTTGGGGGCCACGCCCAGCGGTGCTCAGGGCTCAGTCCTGGCTCTGTGCTCAGAGATTACTCCCGGCAGCGCTTGGGGAACAATATCTGGTGCCAGGGATCAACCCTGGCAAGAGCCCTGCCCATTCTGCTGTCGCTCTGGCCTTCAGGGCTTGTTCTTGAGCTTGTCCTTCTATGCCCTCTGCTCTTCACTTCTTCTCTTCTTTTTTGTTATTTGCTTTTTGGGTGACACCTGGCAATGCACAGGGGTTACTCCTGGCTCTGTACTCAGGAATTACTCCTGGCGGTGCTGAGGGGACCATATCGGATGCTGGGAGTCGAACCCGGGTCAGTCGTGTGCAAGGCAAACGCCCTACCCACTATTCTACTGCTCCTGCCCCCTGCCTCTTCTTTTTGTACTTGGAAAACTCCTCACTGAATCGGCTTACGTCCTGGGCCTGGTGGGGGTGGGGAGGGGCTCACTGAGCTGAGCACAGGGTTTGCATGCCGGAGCCCGAGTTCACTCCCCAGCACCGTGGTGGCTTGAAGTCCAAAACAGCAAAACGAACCAGAGCCAGAGAGAATCCAGGGGTTAAGGTATTTGCCTTGTACACAGCCAACCCCAGTTCAGTCCCCGGCACTCCCAACAGGAGTGATCCCTGAGCACAGAGCCAGGAGTCAGCCCAGCACACCACAGGGTGCAGACCAGCCCGTGTTGTGGTCGGCAGTATGGTGTGGCATCACGCCACCATGTTCCAGCTAACAGTGGCCTGCACATGTGCACGGTGCTGGTCGCCTCTGCCCCATGTTTCCAAGTTCCGGTGTGTGTGGTAGGCAGTCCCGTCCGGTCTGGTTCTGTGTAATTATAGACTCCGATGTTTGCACAACAACAAAACCACTCTGGATGGGTGCTCAGGTGTGTCTGCCCTCAGGGGTTGCGTGTCTATACTGTTTGCCTGATGTCACCTGTCCCTCGCTCCCCCACCTCTGCCCGCCCCACCCCCCTGGGGACCTGCAGCCTGCAGAATGGAATGGCACCATTGCCTTTCCCATTGCTCATCCCCAGCCCAGGCCAGCACATGCCGGATCTCTAAGTGAATGAATGAATTGAACGGACATGTGGGCCAGTGTGGGAGACTGAAGCATTTAGGGGAAACTGGTGAAGGAGAGGAAGGAGATGTGGGGTGATCGCTTCGAGGGGAGGGGGGGTTCCATCCCTAGTACCGCACGGTGCCCTCGGCACCACCAGGGCCGGCTCAAAAACAGCAAAGGGGCTGGAGAAATAGCACAGCGGGTAGGGCGTTTGCCTTGCATGCGGCCGACCTGAGTTCGATTCCCAGCATCCCATATGGTCCCCTGAGCGCCGCTAGGAGTAATTCCTGAGTGCAGAGCCAGAAGTAACCCCTGTGCATTGCCGGGTGTGACCCAAAAAGCAAAAAAAGAAAAAAAACACTGGGGGCTGGAGTGACAGCACAGCAGGTAGGGCGTTTGCCTTGCACGTGGACGACCCGGGTTCGATTCCCAGCATCCCATATGGTCCCCTGAGCGCCGCCAGGAGTAATTCCTGAGTGCAGAGCCAGAAGTAACCCCTGTGCATTGCCGGGTGTGACCCAAAAAGCAAAAAAAGAAAAAAAACACTGGGGGCTGGAGTGACAGCACAGCGGGTAGGGCGTTTGCCTTGCACGTGGACGACCTGGGTTCGATTCCCAGCATCCCATATGGTCCCCCGAGCACCGCTAGGGGTAATTCCTGAGTGCAGAGCCAGGAGTAACCCCTGTGCATCGCCAGGTGTGACCCAAAAAGCAAAAAAAAATAACACAGCAAAGTGTGGGAACTGGGAAAGAGACGGGCTGGGTCACCAACATCTGGGACGGGGAAGGTGGGGGTGTGTGTGTGGGTGCTGGCAAAGAGGCTGCAGGTGGCCCCAGACTGCCAGGGCATGGAGGAAAGTATGCTGAGTGGTTAGAACTATGCCCGGCACGGCCCAGCTCCCTGAGCCCTTCAGGACGGTTATCTCTGATCTCTCCTGACCTTGGGCGGGGCGGCCCCCAGAGTCCAAGGGCTGTGGAAGCGCCCGCGGTGGTGTTGGCAGGGCACGGGGCGTTGCCGTGGTAACGGGAAGGGGTGGCCTCGTCCTGCAGGCTACGCGGTCCCCTACCTGACAGTGTTCAGTGAGAACGCCCTCGACGTGTTCGACGTGAGGCGAGCGGAATGGGTGCAGACCGTGCCCCTCAAGAAGGTGAGGTGGGGGGGGCCTCCCACCCGGGGGGCCGGCCCTGGGTGGGCGCCCGCGGGAACCTGGCGTCAGTGACCTCCGTGCCCGCTGCCTCAGGTGCGACCCCTGAACCCAGAGGGCACCCTGTTCCTCTACGGCACCGAGAAGGTCCGCCTGACCTACCTCAGGAACCAGCTGGCAGGTGAGGGAGTGTGGGAGTGGGCTGAGGTGGGCGACGCGGGGTGGGGGAGGGGGTGGCGGGGACCCCCCTGGGGGCTTGGGAGCAGCGCCCAGCTCTCTCTGCTCCTCCCCCAGAGAAGGACGAGTTCGACATCCCCGAGCTCACCGACAACAGCCGGCGCCAGCTGTTCCGCACCAAGAGCAAGCGCCGCTTCTCCTTCCGCGTGTCTGAGGAGCAGCGGCAGCAGCAGCGCAGGTGCGCCTGCGCCGCAGGGAGCCGCGGGGCGGGGCCTGAGTGTGGGGCGGGGCCTCGTCATGGGCGGGGCTATCAATCCCGCCCCCGGGCTGACCGTCCCAGGGAGAGGCGAGAAGCCGCTGAACTGTCCCCGCTGGTCCACCCCCTCCACCCCACAGGGAGATGTTGAAGGACCCATTTGTTCGCTCTAAGCTCATCTCAGCGCCCACCAACTTTAACCACCTGGTGCATGTGGGCCCTAATGATGGGAAGCCCGCCCCCAGGAACCCGTCCTCGGTGAGTGCTCGGGAACCAATCACGAGCTCCCCCTGTGAGGCTGGGCCAATCACAGGTCTCCTGGTGCTTTCCAACCAATCAGGCCTTGGGTCACCTGAAAGAGCCGGGATATGCCTTGACCACCTGGGCTAGGGGTCCCCTTGCCGTTTCCTTTCCCTGGTCAATCGTGTCTGAGCAGCTCCTTCACGTTGTCACCCCAACAGGCTCCTGAAGAGAAGGGCCGAGGTGGCCGCAGCTCAGGCCCACAGCGACCCCATAGCTACTCAGAATCCCCGCGGCGCCCAGCGTCCATGGGCAGTGAAATGCTCAGTGCGGTTGCCGACTCGAGTAAGGACCAGCCTGCAACTCCCAACCCCCAGCAAAGCCCCTACCTGCGCTGGCTCCCCCAGATCTCACCTTGTGTTTTTACCCTCTTACCCTGCTCCTGAACAGTGAAACGGAAGCCTTGGACGTCTCTGTCCAGCGAGTCTGTGTCCTGCCCCCAGCGGTCTCTGAGCCCTGCAGTGTCGCTGGTGCAGGTGAGCCCTGGGGCCACCCCTTCGCTGTTCCTGGGACTCTGCCATGCTGCCACTTAGGGCTGAACGCCGGCCAAGCCTGTCCCTGCCCAGGAGCGTGAGGGACAGAAACTCTTAGCAGTTGCGCCCAACAGCGCCTGGAGGTGGGTGAGCCTTGTGGGGCCGCTCAGATTTGGAGGGTCCCTGGGCGGACACCCAGCCTCCCTGTGCTGGTCCCACCTTTAAGATGAGCTTGCAGGCTAAAGAGATAGTTTTGTGGGTTACTCTCTGCTGGCCTGGGTTCAATCCCTGGCATTCCATATGGTTTCTCCATATGCACACACGCCCGGTACCGTCAGGAGGGATTCCTGAGTGCAGAACCAGGAGTAAGCCCTGAGCACCGCTGGGTGGCCAAAAAAAAAAAAAAGTGAGCTTGCGACTGGAACTCCTGTTTGGGGTAACACCAGCCACATATCACAGAGGAGGAATTCTGGGATGCTTTTATTCGGGGGTTGGGGCACACTTTGGGATTCCCAGGGGTCGCTCTGAGAACCATGTGGTGTGGAGTACATTGAATTCTCCCCAGCCCTCTACTTGGGATCCTTAGCAGAGCCCCTGAGAGAGATGTGGGGGACAGGAGGACGCAGCCCCTTTCACGAGGAGCTCAGAAGGCGCTGCTGGGAGGTGCCACGGTGTCAGCTGCCACCCTGCTCTCAGCCTGTCCAGTCCCCAGAGCCTTGGGACTTGCCTTATTTTTTTTGCCTCAGGCTTTTGCCCTGCTGACCCCCCTTTCGTCCAGCTGTGCGCCCAGGCTGCCCTCCACGCTGCCCGGTCAGCTGCTCACTGCTTTGCTGCTGCCCCCTTGGGCATGCCACTTGCTCCAGCCCCGTCCTCACGGCTCCGACTGGACCCTGCTTTCATGAGGCATCTGGTCGCTGGACTCAAAGTTTTTCTTCTCAAGTATAGCTTTTTTTTTTTGCTTTTTGGGTCACACCTGGCGATGCTCAGGGCTTCTTCCTGGCTCTGCACTCAGGAATGAGTGCTCAGGAAACCTTATGGGATGCCGGGGATTAAATCCAGGTTTGCTGCGTGCAAGGCAAAAGCCCTCTCCACTGTGCTATCGTTCCATTCCCGAGTACAGCATGTTTGATGATTGCAGGGGAGGGAGTAGGGGGTGAAGGGGGCTCGGATGTGGATTCCGGGGTCACATCGGTGCCCGGGTTCTTCTGTCTCTTCTGCATCCTCCAGAGATGCCGCTGAGGAGGAGGGCGCGGCACCCCTCCCCCCCAGCCCTCACTTCTTCCCCTTCCTCCAGGTCTCCGAACGGCCCCGGAGCCTCCCCCCAGCCCCCGAATCCGAGAGCTCCCCTTGATTGCTCTGCAGGACCCACCCCAATCCTGAACAGAGCACGGAAAGAGCAGAAAACGTGAAGAGGCCGGAATCCGGCGGGTCCGGATGGACTCAGGGAGGACATAGGTGGGACAAGAGACAAGGAGACGGGCTGGGGCCCCAGCACTCGGGGCTGGATGCCCAACTCATGTTTCTGTCCTTCCCTCTGCTCAGCCCCAACCTGTGATCGCTGCTGGGGACAGAATACGCCCCCATTCGGCCTGGGTACCCTAGCGGGACCCGCTGTGCCAAAGCTCCCGTGTCCAGTGCCAAGTTTCAGAAGGCCTCTAAGAATCAGGGTGGACAAAGACGGGGTTCCCGGGGCAGTCGGGCGTCCTGATTGAGGACTGTCGAGCCATGGGTTGAGGCCAAGTTGGGGCACATCCCTGTCTGCTCAGGCCCAGGGAGAAGCCACGCTCCGAGCCCAGAGCGGAGAGAGCTGAAGAGGAAAAGAGGGAAGGGAAAGTGAGTCAGGAGGGAAGAGGAGAGAGAAAGAAGAGGGATGGGAGGAGGCGGAAGTCGAAGAAGAAGGACGAGGTGAAGAAGGAAGAGGAAAGAGGAAGGAACATGGGGGGACCTTGAAGAAGAGGAGAGAAGACGGGGGACAGGAGAGGAGTAGCTGGTGGGGGGGTGGGAGATTGGAGCACATGACTGTTTGCCATCTGCCCAGAGGACAGGGCAGGATGCAAGGGCATGGGGGGGTATTTATAAGGGCCACCTGTGGGGAGATGGGCACCCCTGCATGGTCCGCAGGCACATCTGGCCTTCCCAGGCACAGGGGGGTCCTTTCCAAGCTTCAGCCAACTGTGTATTAGGGAGTTTAGGGGCATTTTATTATTGATCATATTATTATTGTTATTATATTGCTATTTTTATTAAACTTCCCCTACTGATAAGTGGGGTGCAAAAAAGATATTTATCCTCTCAGACGCTCTGTTCCCGGCTGGGATCAGGCCTGACTCCATGAGACAGTACGGAAACAATAAAGAACTTTCGAAGCCACCCTCCTCCCTGCCTGACTTTCTCCTCCCGGGGTTCAGGGGGGGAATCAGGATGAAACACACATCTGGCTATAACCATGTCCAAAAAATATTCTCCCTGGAGGGCTGGAGTGATAGCACAGCGAGTAGGGCGTTTGCCTTGCACGCGGCCAACCCGGGTTCGATTCCCAGCATCCCATATGGTCCCCCGAGCACTGCCAGGAGTGATTCCTGAGTGCAGAGCCAGGAGTAACCCCTGTGCATCGCCAGGTGTGACCCAAAAAAGAAAGAAAAAGTTTCTCTCTGGGACTGGAGTGATAGTACAACAGGGAAGCCGCGTGCCTTGCATACTGCCAACCCGGGTTCAATCCCCAGGATACCATATGGTCCCCCATGCACTGCCAGGAGTAACCCCTGTGCATTGCCAGTGTGACCCCAAAAAAAATCTGATATTGAAAAACTGAAGAAGCTGGAGGGGTATACCATGGGGTAGGGAGGGTGTTTGCCTTGCACGTGGCCTACCCCATTTTGATCTCCAGCACCCTCTAGGGCCCCCCGAGCCCTGCCAGGCGTGATCCCTGAGTGTAGAGCCAGTGTGAGGACTAAGCTGGTATGACACCACCCCCCTCAAACGGCTTCAGACCCCTTTGCACCCTCTGTCTTCCAGAAGCACCCTGAGCCCCCTCCTCCTGAGAGCCTGCCGGGATTGTAACCCGCATCCCTTCACCATGGGCCTCAGGCCCCTGCAGTTCCCATTGCCCAACGCTGCTCCTCCCAACTATTCCCACTTTCGTCCCCCAAGAGCGGTTCCTTTACATGCTTCCTCACCCGCCTCCACACAGTCCCTAACCCTCTGCCCAAGCCACAGCTGTGCCCTACCCCCTGCCGGGTGTGCCCAGGCTTCCCGCTCCCCACTGGGCCTGCCTGTGGGCTTCTGAATCCTCGTGGCCACACTCACATGTCAGCCAGAGCCACCTTCCAGATGCTCGGAGTGAACACAAGTGACCTGGGACGCCTCCATCCCTGTCTGATCAGAGCACGCCTCTCAGTTCCCTCTTTTCCCACAAACAAGACACTTTTCCATTATTAGTCTCTCTTTTTTTGGCGGGGGACACACCCCGCAATGCTCAGGGGTTATTCCTGGATCTGCACTCAGGAATTACCCCTGGCGGTGCTCAGGGGACCATATGGGATGCTGGGAATCGAACCTGGGTCAGCTGCGTGCAAGGCAAACGCCCTACCCACTGTGCTATCTCTCCAGCCCCTCCATTATTATTCTTTATCCCCCGCTTCCTTTCACTGCCGCTGTGGCGGTACCGCGGACCACATACATGCCTGGGTGAAATACTTGCACATTATCATTAATGCATGTTGCTCTCCCAGGCCCAAACTTAATCCAGGCACACACGTTAGGGTTGCGGTGCCCAGCAGGGGGCGCTGCGGCGCTCACCCGAGGTCTCTTCCTGGTGGTGGCTGGGGCTTTGTGGGGGGCTGTCCTCACATCCTTTTCATGACGCTTATAGTGCAGTTAGAAATCGTTCAGGGCACAAGGAATTGCAGACAGTAGCTGCCAGGGCGGGCTCATGTAGGATGCCAGGGATTTGAACTTGTGACCAAATGTCTGCAAGTCAGGTAGTCTCAGTCCCTGCTCCATTCCCCTGGGCCTTCTGCCATGGTCCAGTTCTCCCACCTACCCCCACCCCTTGCTCTTGCCCCCATACTGGGGAGCTGAACTCCTCAGATTGGGAGCTCTTGCTATTCACCAGCGCTGCTGGGGATGAGGTAAGTAGCGACTATCTACCAGCTCTCAGGCCAGAAGTGGAGGAGGAAAAAAAAAATTAGCACTAAATTTTTATGTTGATTATATGCTGAAATAACATTTTGCATATATTGCAATAAACAAAATATATTGCTAGGATTAATCTCACTTGTGTCTTTTCATATGTAGCTGTAAGCATTATTAAACTGCACATGTGGCTCATAATATCATTTTTGAAGGAGGAGGTTTGGACCACAGCTGGTAGTACTCAAGGCTTAGTCCTGACTCTGCACTCAGGAATCACTCCTGACTGGCTAGGGGACCATATGGGATGCTGGGATCAAATCCTGGTCAGCCACATGCAGGACAAGCTTCCTATCTATTATACTGTTGCTCCAGCCCCTATATTCCATTTATTTTAAGGATCTCTCTCTCTCTGTCTCCCCCCCCCCTCTTTTTTGTTTTGTTCCGGGGTTACTCCTGATTGTACAGGGGGACCATATGGGATACCGGGGATTGAACTCTGGTCAGCTGTGTGCAAGGGAAGTGTTCTACCCACTGTACTATCTTTCCAGCCCCAGTTATTTTGAGACTGGTGCAGGGATTGCGCTCAGGATTGGGAGGCAGGCTTATCCGCTGAGCCCCATCCTCTGTCAAGAAACTCAGTCTCAAGCACCATAATTTTTCTTGCTTTGGGGCATTTGGGGGAGTTAGGGACACACATGGCAGTGCTCAAGGGCTATGCCTGGCTGGCCCTTTGCTCAGAAGTGACCCCTGGCAGTGCTTGGGGAACCAGGAATCAAACTGGACTTGGCTGCGTGCAAGACAAGCGCTTTAATTCCTGTGCTATTTCTCTGGTTCGTGTGGTTTTTTGTTTCATTTGGAGGTTTTGGGAGGGGATTTGGGCCACACCTGGCAGTGTTCAGGGATCAGTCTTGGAGCAGAGCGATAGTGAAGCTGGTAGGGCACTTGCTCTGCACGCAGCTGACCCCATGTAAGCCCCCAATTCCTGCCGGGAGTGATCCCTGAGTGCCGAGCCAGGAGTCAGCCAAAGCACAGTTTTCTGTGACCCCCTAAAAACAGCAAGAAAGGACCATTGTCCTGGCTGTGCTTGAGGGACCATATGCAGTGCTGGGAACGGTGCAGAGGAGGGACAGGCAAGGCAAGCCCTGACCCGTGTACTTTCTCTCCAGCCCCAGGCCCATGGGGTTGTTTGTCTGGTTTTTGGCCACGCCTAGCAGTGCGCAGAGGGGAATACTCCCAGCCTAGTGCTCACTCCTGCCAGGCTTGGGGGACCGTGCAGAGAGCTGTGGGCTCTCACTGGCTAAGCAAGAGCTCTAGTTTTTTTTTTTAATTTTTATTAATGAAACACCATGAGGCACAGCTGTAGACTTACAAATTTTTTGTGCTTGGGTTTCAGTTATACAATGATTGAGTACCCATCCCTCCACCAGTGCCCATTCTCCACCACCACTGATCCCAGTATCCCTCCCACCCACCCCCCCTCCATCGCACCCTGCCACAGAGATTTTCCTTTCCTTTTCTCTCTCTCCTTTTGGGTACTGTGGTTTGCAAAAGAGGCATTGAGTGGCAATCGCGTTCGGACTATAGTCTACTCTCAGCACGCATCTCCCATCCTGGGAGGATCCTCCCAACACCCTTTATTTGGTAAAGATATTAAGGGCATCCAGGTAGGAAAGAGCTCCAGTTCTTTGCATCTTTCCTCCAGGAGCCCCTCAGGCATCCCACTTTCTTTGTTCTTTTTTTGTGGTTTTTTAGAATACGCCAGCTGTGCTTAGGAATTACTCCTGGTGGGCTTGGGGAACCATCTGGAATGCCGGGGATTGAACCCACGTCAAGTGCATGCAAGGCAGGGGCCCTCCCGGCGGGCTCCTCTCTCGTTTTTGCAGTACCAGGTTGGAACACCATGAAGTACAGTTCCTGCTTGCAAGGTCCATGCCTTTTGATTTTGCTTTTGGGCAACTCCAGTTTGATTCCTGGTGCTTGATACCCAAGAGCTGCCAGGGATCACTCTGTGAGCACAAGACCTGGAGGAGTAGCCCTTAAGCACCGCCATATGTAGCCCCAACTCTTCCCCAAAACAAAACCCCAGACACCCAGCATACAACAGACTCCATTCCAGGCAGATCTGTGAACTGAAATTCTTGGGAAGAAGTTGTTGGTCCACAGGTCAGTTATACTGTATGCTCGGATTGAGGCAGCGATACTCAAGGATCACTCCCAGTGGTCTCAGGGAACCAGACGGGGTACTGGGAATTGAACCTGGGCCAGCCACATGCAAACAAAGTGCCCCACCTGCTGTACTTCGGTTCCAGCCCAAAACATTTTTTT